TGATGGCGGTGTAGAAAACATCACTACATCCCCATTAGCTCAAAGTGCTACACAATCCCCATTGACTATATCACACACGACAACCAGCACCAGTACAGCACTTAAAACTATTCACACATCCATTGTCAGTGCACCATTAAAAGATAATGACACATCCACAATCACTGCACCACAAAAAGCTATTCACACATCAATTGTCAGTGCACCATTCAACGATATTGACACATCCACAATCACTGCACCACAAAAAGCTATTCACACATCCATTGTCAGTGCACCATTCAAAGATATTGACACATCCACAATCCGTGCACCACAAAAGGCTATTCACACATCCACAATCACTGCACCACTTACAACTATTCACACATCCATTGTCAGTGCACCATTCAACGATATTGACACATCTACAATCACTGCACCACAAAAAGCTATTCACACATCCATTGTCAGTGCACCATTCAACGATATTGACACATCCACAATCACTGCACCACAAAAAGCTATTCACACATCCATTGTCAGTGCAACATTCAACGATATTGACACATCCACAATCTTTGCTCCACAAAAAGCTATTCACACATCCATGGTCAGTGCACCACTCAAAGATATTGACACATCCACAATCACTGCTCCACAAAAAGCTATTCACACATCCATTGTCAGTGCACCACTCAACGATATTGACACATCCACAATCACTGCACCACAAAAAGCTATTCACACATCCATTGTCATTGCACCACTCAACGATATTGACACATCCACAATCACTGCACCACAAAAAGCTATTCACACATCTATTGTCAGTGCACCACTAACAGCTATTGACACAAACACAATGAGTTCACCAAAATCAACTATTGACACATCCATTGTCAGTGCACCATTAAAAGATATTGACATATCCACAATCAGAACACCAAAATCAACTATTGACACATCTTCAATCAGTGCACCACTAACAGCTATTCACACTCCCATTGTCATTACACCACTACCAGATATTGAAACATCCACAATCACTGCATCACTAACTAGTAAAACTACCATTGCCGCTACCACCCCCAGTACACCACAGACAACCTTAGATACATCTACGACCACCGCAACAAATGAACCCACCAGACATATTTCACCGACGCCATCCACGACTACACCCGACACCACACCCCATAATGAAACACACAGGTTTACTACAACACCATCATCCCCAAGGGAACCGACTTCAGGTATGGCCAATCTTTCATCCATCCATCCAATCCATCCATCCATCCATCCAATCCATCCTTCCGTCCATCCATCCATCCATCCATCCATCCATCCATCCATCCATCCATCCATCCATCCATCCATCCATCCATCCATCCATCCATCCATCCATCCATCCATCCATCCATCCATCCATCCATCCATCCATCCATCCATCCTTCCATCCATCCATCCATCCATCCATCCATCCATCCATCCATCCATCCATCCCATTCATCCCATCCATCTATCCACCCGTCCATCCATCCAATCTTTCATCCTATCTTAGTTAACACTGTCAAAGTAACGAAAATAAATGCATTGACCCTTTATATCAAACACAGCATGCGGCTACAACTGTACTAGTACTGACGAATGGGTGGCATCTGCTTCCAATATGGTAAGACATTATGTTCAATATGTAATTTAAAAAGTGTTACCTTGTGATGTCTTTATATATTTTAGTGTTTTTTTTTAAATTAATCATTACTTTTATTTCTTCTTTTAGAATGGTCATTTTATAAAACAATTTAATGTATTAAAATTAAATCTAAACGATAAACTAACATCAAAGTTGTTTAGGCCTACAACATACTAGATAGATACATTTTAAACGATAACACATTACAAGAAAGTAGACCATATTGTATGCAAAAAAATGAAATTGAAAATAAGTGACGTACATAGATTTTACGATTGCCAAAAAAATTAATTCTACTCATTTTAAAGCCTACTATTTTGTATACAAATATATTGTTTAAAAAATCTCTTTAGAATTTTTAGATGTTTGGAGGTTATCCTACATTACCGATTTCTTTTTTTATCCTAAAATGAATACTGAATATTTAAATACTAAATAGGAAATCTGTCATTTGAGACAGCCATCAAACATCATTCGAATTGATTTATTATGCTATATATTATAAGGGCCTTTTTAGGCATCTATATAGGCCTATATATATATATATATATATATATATATATATATATATATATATATATATATATATATATATACAACTATATAATATATAAATATATGCCTTTTTCTAACCTATACAAAAATGTGCTCTTTTATGTTATAGCTACAAAAGTAACAAAAGCAAGTGTAATGTCAAATTTAAAACTTTAGGCACAGAAACTGAGTGACAAAAAACTCAGCGCAAGAGAACGAGGACACATGATCAACTCTTTTTTAAGCCTTCTTGCCACAAACATATCTAAAATAAGATCTGTCGTTGATGTGAGAGCTATTCTCACCATTTTCTCGCTAATAGACAGAGTCTTAGCAGAACTTGACGTGGAGGTCTGTGATAAAATTATTATGGTAAGCCCATAGTCCACAACTACAATGTATTTTTTTAATGGTCTTCTTTGCCAATTACATCTTGAGATCTACCCAAATATGATAAAATATGAAACAAATGTGGTTCTTTTTTTTATACATTTTATAAAACTACATAGGGCCTAACAGAATGTGTGTATGTATTTATCTTGCAGAAGCTTACACAATAAATTATTACTAGATCTAGATCTAGATCTAGAATATATTATACTAACAACATTACTTTTACTTTTAATAGCGATAATTATAGGCATAATTGTATTGCCAACAAGGGGTCGGCGTGGTCGAGTCGGTAAAGCTCATGGTTGCTAAAGTCTCGAGTTCGAACCTTCGGGCAGATGAGGCTCGTTAGCTGGGGACAGCCACTCTTCTAGGAGAGACAACTCCAAAATCAAACAACTGCTGCCTTGTAGTTTGTTCTTGGTTGGACAAGGCTATGGAAGCAAATCCAAAAATAAAAGCAGGCTGAAATCTGAGTCAATGGTCGCAATGGCGCATAACTAGTTGACACGTAATCCTTAATTGTGATGGAAGCTCGATCCCTCCCAACACTAAAATTTAAGAACGAAGAAGAAGAAGAAGAAGAATAGCCAACAGTGGATTATTCTTTAGTGGGGTTAATATTTTCATGATGTTATATTAGTATTTATATTTTATCTATAATACATAGAAAATGTTATCTTATTAAATATTAACCCATATTAACACATATTATCTAATATGGCCACACAGTTTATTTATTTTTAAAATATGTCAAACAAGTCTCCAAGACAATGTATCAGATATTATAATATTAAATAATAGGGCTGTATAATGTTTACATAGTTACTAGTACGTCTAGATTTACCTATGATCAAATATATGTTTGATAATGTATCAAGCATGTGAAATATTTATGTCAAAATATGATAAGAATCTAAACATAAAAGTATTAAAATTTTTAACAAGCAAAAAGGGTTAAATAACATTTACAGTCTTGTATTTTTTTTACTAATGATATAAATATTGTTTTATAAAGAATACAGCAATTATATCCAACCATCTTGTTTCGATTGATGACAAAGTCTGGTCAGAACTAAACAGAGACGGTCCCGGAATGTCATTCCTGTTAAATATTGTGGAGAACATAGTCAGATCAAGTCTAAAGTGGTTGAATGGGACGAATTCAGTTAATAAACAAAGCCACATCAGTAAGGGCATTATTTTACGACTTTTAATATTTTATTGTGTCGTGTTGTTGAGATAATAGTGTAAAAATATTATTTGTAAACAAGAACTATTATTAAAAGATTGCAACCAAACATACACATTGATTTACTTAAAAAACAATACTTTTTTTGTAGGAATTTAATTTTCAAATATTCAAATGAACTTTTTTCAAAACCGTTTCCATGGACCATAAATATCCCAGTTATTATTAATATTATTCATGTATTGTATGTGTCTATCCCACTACACAAAATAAAGTTTTTTAAACTTTTTAAAAATCGGTTTTAATGAGTTCCCATCCTTTACACAGCTATTGGACGCTTCAGTAGCTTGGGTGACTTCATTTCACAAGGAAATTTCCAACAAAATGATGCGGGGTTTAATGCAGTTATCTTGTCGGAAGATAAAACTGGTTGGTCAATTGTTAATTTTGTATTGTAATTTAGAAATTCTATTATTATTAATTAAAATATATTTTGACAATTTATTACTGTTTTAGAACTCCCTACTTTTTCATATTATAATATTTAAATATTATGTATTATGAATATAAAAGGTGCATTGAAATCATACAAAATAACTAAATCAAAGTTTTGACAAATTTTGACGTTTTATACCTTTTGAATCCAACAAAACTTTGCTTAGCAATTGTGTTAGTCTGTGTTTATGTAAACTGTAAACACAATAACTTAAGTAACCTTTCAGTTAGGTTGACAAAATAACATATAGATCTATAAGTATTACTACCACATATGTAGTTTTCTATTGACTTTTGAGCAATTTCCAATAACAGAAGTTGTACTTTACTTTAATGTTGGTTTCTCAAAAGTCAGTAACTTATTAACTAGAGCACCGTGTAACTTAGGTGGACGAAATTTCACATACAAGTTTTACATTGTATGTGCAGGTTTCTACTAACTTTTGAAAAATTTTCAGCAATGGGAAGTGGTATTTTACTCTATTTCCGTTTGAACACAATAACGTGAATAATTGTTCAGTTAGGCAGACGAAATTTTTTTATCCAACTAGATCTAGATCTATATAAGTATAAGATTTTGTACTTGTATTATTGTCAATTTTTCAGTGACCTCCAAAAACCGGAAGTGGTACTTTACTAGATGTTTTCTAAAATACGTGTAATTTTTAATTTGAGTACCATTTCAGTAAGGTAAATGAATGTTATACATTATACAAATGTATAAGATGTCATTCTCTTGATTCTATCAAATTTTGAATGATTTCCAATGACCAGGTCATTTCCAATTTTTAAAAAAACTTCTACTGGAATGATTTCAATAAAAAAAAAATTCACTTAAGCATTCATTTTTTATTTTATTTTAATTTTTACTTTATTCCATTAATTTTCAGAGAAAACCCAAACTGGAGTTGTTTATTACAGAAACATTGGTAGCAAATTAAGAATTAATGAACTACAAAATAAATAGTAGGCCCATATTTGCATCTATTATCAACAATTACTATTCTATTATCTGTATGAGCTAAATTGAAAATGTATAATACTAGATCTATAAGTAATAGTAATAGCTTTAAAATTGTTTACAAATTTTCCTTGATCTAATTATGTCTAGAATCATGCTTTTAATACTTTAAATATGCCTACATTTTTAAAACATATCATGTACTATTCTAAATTAAAGAATTTTTTCAGCAGTAATCTGAAAACCTCTGCTGAGTTATACATCAACTCTGATGTTGTGTCTCTTACAAGTACCATAACCAGGCCTGTGCTTGTAGAAATCACATTCTCCCTCACACATGTTAGTTTGAAGTTTTTAACTTTTGTCTCTATGATTGTTGTTTTTTTATTCAAAGAATGTCCTTTTTATAATGGCAAAACAGTTCTTCAAAAATTAGAATTTTATTTGTAGTTATACTTAACAATGATCACCTTAAATTTCTATGCACACACAATTATTTGTGACAAATGTTTCAGCAAATCAAATGGACAAGACACAAATTCTTGGTACTAAATTGGTACAACATCCTTACACAAATGTTCTAGCAATCCAAATAAAAATATAAAAAATACAATGATGATGTTCTGAATATTAACTAATACGTTTTTTGTAACTACATCACAAACCAAAAAAATCTTGTTTCTATTGAGTTATGGAAAATGCACATTTCTATTCACCGTTGAATATTTTAATTAAATGTAAGCAGTCTGTGCTTCTACTTCTAGCTCAACCAGATACTAAATTTGTAATTTAAAAACTACAATTGAATAGGCTACTCTCCCAATGCCAAAATGAAAATAATAAATTCCTCACAAGTTTTAATGTATTCACTTTCAGCAAACCTCAGAACATCTAGAATGTGTGTTTTTGGACAGGTAATGTGAATTATTTTTTTATTGTATTTGTTCTCTACACATTCTGAAGTCTTTAACTTAAGACTTTAGGGCCATTTGTACAGCTTTTGGTTCCTATCAATAAGAATTTTGGATACCTTGTTTGTAGAATAAAATGTGCATTCATTTGCTGTTCACTGTTTTGATTTCTTTTATTGATTGTCACTAATTGTTAGTTAATACACACTATACACTAAGTTAAAAGTTAAGCTAATAATGCCTTCTAAAAGTAAACTAAACTTTACATCTATAATAATGAACTACTTGAATATATAGTCTTATACAGAGAATCTTTTAGACATACATAGGTGGGAAAACTGAAGTATGGATTTTATAATCTTTTTATTACATTTTTAAAATCAACCGATAACTTTGTACATTCTGTGCGGGTGGGTAAAATAAAATGAAATACCTATTTTACTATTCTTTTTCTAAACTTAGAGCAGTGGTTCTGAACCTGTGTTTGATCAAACCTAAGGGGTTTGGTGAGTCAGTCTCAGGGGTTTGGTGAGTCAGTCTCAGGGGTTTGGTGAGTCAGTCTCAGGAGTTGGGCGGAATCAAAATTCAAATGATTCACAATTGTTGTTTTTTTTCAGTCTGTTAGTTGTGTGATTTTCCTATTATCCAACAAGCATCTTAAATTTATATAATTTCTTGCCTTATAAATATTTATTTTTCCTTTCTAAATTAGTTATAGTACTCCAAATGTGTGGTCAAATCAAGGCTGCTCACTTGAACATAGAAACTCAACACATGTCACTTGCAAGTGTGACCATTTGACTATTTTTGCGATTCTTACAAGTTTATACCAGATAGTGAGCTATTTATTCACCTAACATAAAAAGTGTTGTAGTTTTTAATTTAACTCATGCATTAGTAAATAATAATTATAAAATCAACAGCAGTAACTAATAAATTAAATAAATCACATTTTATTGATGAATCATACTGTTTGAAACAAAGCTACTCCTGAAACTACTTAACTGTATGATACTTTGTATTTGTATCAATAGTGTTAAACTTGCAAGTCGTAGTTAAATAATTAAAATGTACACATGGTCTGCTTTAATATAAATTATCTTATGACGATTTATAATTTCAGGTTGATGATTATGATTGGACTTTGGTCACTAGAGTCGGGTGCTACGTGTCTGTGTCCACTCTGTTTATATCTGTATGCGTATCCGTCAATGTCTGGAAGTAAGCATGACTAGAACGGTGGCGTCATTCAAATATTTCTCACTGGGGAAGGGGGGCACTAGCTAAAGTATTTATTCTCTATATAAATTCTATGTGGGGAAGGCGTGGTCAGATGGTAGAGCTACGACTGCTTACCCAAAAGTATTGATTTCAGATCCCTGTTCACATTAATTAACGTCCATGCATACACCCCCCGTTCTAGTGGGTACTAAATTCATGTTTTTTCAAGTAGTTCATGTTTCTTGACCTCTGCATATGAAGGGATAGTGAGATCAGCACTTTGCCCAGTTATACTTCCCTAATGTGAGTCAGGTACATATCACAGCTGGGTGGACTCAGCTCTTGAAGTCCGACAAGCTCAAGTCTGAGTCAACATCCAAACTTGAGACTTTTGCGTTAGCTTAATTGGTATCGTTACATTCTTCCCATATTTTATTTCATAAGCCCTAATGTTAGCACTGACTGTGTAGGCTTAAATTTTAAAATATTTTTAGGGACATCAAAGACGCAGCGGCTGTGTTGCATATGCACATGTACACACTTCTTCTGATCAGTTACATTACTTTTCTCGCAGGAATAGATCAAACTGACAATGTGGTGAGTTTTTATTTTTACATAGTTATTTCTGAAAATTTGAATACCCTCAAACTAAATGTTCACACATTTTATATTATTATATGTTAGCATGGTTGTTATGGCAACGGTGGCTCCCTTTATCTGTGCCCATGTGAGCCTAGCAGTCTTTGCCTCTTACTCTACCGTTCTTCTCCTTGTTCTCTTTGGCCGACCCACTTTCATTTTATTTAAATAAAATAACTTACTGGATTTTAATTTCTATTTTTTTGTTATTCCCTATCATCTACACTCTACAGGCTGTGTGTAAGATGGTGGCCATCACCTTACATTTTACCCTTACCTCAAGCATGTTCTTCATGTTGGCTGAAGGACTCCAGCTTTACAAAACTGTAGTGATGGTGTTCTTTGTTCGTTCAATTCTGAAATACCTAATTATGTTTGCCTATGGTAATTTTAAAGGTTTTATTTTTTTATAGTAGTGCTAGATTTTAAAAAAAAATATTTAAATTATCTTAACATGTGGTAGCTTCAAAATATTATATTAGCAATTATTTTTAAAACCATTTTAAATATTAATTGTATTAGCAGATTTTTTAAATATTTAAATTTCATAGTTGTTTTTTTAAAAGTGAATTTAAAAGTTGCTGGTCTAAAATGACTTTATATTTAGGTGTACCTGCTATAATAGTCACAGTGACCCTTGGTGTGACACAAACTTTGGGATTCGGAGGTGAACGGAGGTAGCCTTTATGCACTATTCACTGTTTAACTTACAATCTGCCTAGTAGCCTAAACAAATTTTTTGGACACTGTGATTTAAGTTTGTTTGTATAACATATAGTGAAGTCAGTTTCTTTTTCCTGCTTTAATTTGCTTTAATTTACACTGCTGAAAATTGAAAACAAAGAAGGGGTCGGCGTGGTCGAGTCGGTAAAGCTCATGGTTGCTAAACCGAAAAGTCTCAAGTTCGAACCCTCGGGCAGATGAGGCCCGTTAGCTGGGGACAGCCACTCTTCTAGGAGAGACAACTGCAAAATTAAACAACTGCTGCCTTGTAGTTTGTTCTTGGTTGGACAAAGGCTATGGAAGCAAATCCAAAAAGAAAAGCAGGCTGAAATCGGAGTCAATGGCCTCAATGGCGCATAACCAGTTGACACGTAACGCTTAATTGTGTTGGAGGCGTGGTCGAGTCGGCATAAAGCTCATGTTTGATAAATTCGAACAAATTCTCGAACAAACCCACTGGCAGATAAATCTCGATCCCCTTCAACACTAATAATTAAGAACGAAGAAGAAGAAGAAGAAGAAAACAAAGAATATTAAAATAAAAGAACATAAAAAGAATATATAAAAGAATATAATTTATTAAGGCAAACAGCCGTAGGGAATGATTCCCATTCTGGATTATGTTCATTTGGGCTTTTAACCCATTTTGTAATAGGTTCATTTGAGCTTTTGTCCTTTTCTGGAATATGTTCATTTGGGCTTTTAATCCGTTTTATAATATGTTCACTTGGGCTTTTGTCCCATTCTGGAATATGTTCAGGCATGTTGCAATCTGGCATTATAGAAACATCTTATCAGTAACCTTTAGAATATGTCTACTGTTTTTATTATATTATCTGTCTTTTGTCAAACAGTTGTTGGATTGCTAGAGAGAATGGTCTGTTGTGGTCCTTCGCTGGTCCAGTAATCATTGTCTGCGTGTTAAGTGAATTAACTTCTTTTTAATTTTTGCCATTGATGTTTGTAAACATCTTAAGTTTAAGGTAATACATTTTTTTCTATTTCTATTGTAAATGTTTTTAAATTAAACATTTTAACATGTATATTTTGAAAAGTATAAGAACAATAAGTCTACACGGTTGGTAATTTTCATATATAAAAATATTTTCGCAGAATTTTCTGTAATGTTAAATCACGACAGTTCAAATATTATTGATTCCTATTGCTTATCATAGCCAACACGTGTTCTGCCAAGCAGCATTTGCTGAAGTCTACAAAAGGCAAAATATTTTGGGGGTGTGTAATTTTAACTTTTATTAAAGTGGACCAAGTGTTGTATTTCTACTTGTTTCTGGCATGAATAATTTATTCATTTACTTTGGCTCCTTAAAGCACAACTAGTCCTAAACATGGTAGCGAATGAGAGATATATTTATAATATTTTGGCCCTATAAATGAACAATAGTAGCAAACTCTCTAAATAGCCCTTATTTTTCTGCCTTTATTTTTTTACAACACATCACAATATGTATATAGAGTTTAAAAAAAAAATTTTACCTTTTAAATTTCAAATGGATGGCGGTATAGGACTACTATATTCTTTGATGTATTTTCAAAAATAAATATTTTTGCTTGGTATGTAGAAACTTTATTTAGGCCTATAATGAAGTAACATTTTGCAAATGTCTGGTCAGAAAATTGCACTTTGTTTTGTTTTATATGGCTAGTCATAAAATAACACAAAGAAACTAGCAGAAATTTAGTCAACTACATAGCAAAAAAAAAAGTTAACATGAAAACAAGGATTTTTTTGAAGGATAATGGAACTGTCCCTTTTTAGGACCACTGAACAATATGAAATACATGATTTGTGGTAAAAGTAAGAAAATAAATGCGAATTTAATTACATTTTAATGTATTAAATTCATTAAGAATAAAATAATCATTTCAATATACATACATCTATGTTTGCATATATAAATATGTATATCTATGTATTTGTGTGTGTGTGTGTGTGTGTGTGTATATATCTATATATCTATATATATATATATATATATATATATATATATATATATATATATATAAGCCTATATAGGCCTTCATGTATATTATATCATGTATATTATATTATGTTGCACATTTTTTGTAACATGTGAATATTTGCATGTGTTTTCACGTGCCTGGTAATTACCTCTATTATGTGCTGTCCCACAATATCTTTTAAAAAGCTTTTAAAAAGCTTTTATGTTATACAAATTTGATTCTCTTGTTTTTCTTTTAATAATTGTTAACTGCTTAAAATTTATCTCTAATGCTCAATAATTTTTAAAAGCATTATTATTTATAGGTTCAATTTGCAATAAAAAAAAAAACATAAAGGACTAAAAAAAATGGATTTTCAAAAATTTCTCTCATATTGTTTAATGGTAAACGATTATTTTAAAAATTAGGCATACAAAAATTTTAAAATATTAATTATCTTTTAAAATGTTTTATTATGTATAAATAGCATTGTTCCTGTTCACATATCTTTTTGAAAACATTTAGGGATTGTTCTTCTTTTTCTTATGTTAACATAATGAATGGAATTTGGCACTTATGATATGAAAGTATTGCGTCATAGTTTATTAATCTTGCTCAGTCCTGTTATTAAGTACCACTATGTTGTGTAGTAACAGCAGATTTGATTACTTTCAGATTAATCTAATAATTACTATTAGAGTAGTGTATGCTCTACAGACTACAAGACCAGTTCGAGATGGACCATGGCATGCTAAAGTCATGTAAGTCCACGTCATTTGCTTAGTTGTAGAAGAGGGTGCAGTTAGTGTGTTATGTGGTTGTAAGAACCTCCAATGTAGGTCTTACGACTTCTCAAATAAAATCAATAACGCTTCTATTGCAGCATCCTCATCATCTTGCCCATGACACATGAGCAGATGAAGTAGAGCTCATCTGTTTCATTGACCTCAGCATAGACAGAGATAGTGTGGTCAGCAGTATGCACCCTCCTTTGTTTCCTTAACATTTCTCGCAATATTATGAGTAAAAAAAAAATAATTAAAATCCTTATATGACATTATTTTTTTTAAATGTTAAAATCGACTAAAACCATCCTAAATGCCTACTGTTGACCTATTGATGATGATAGATTTGTGGGTTGTTAAATTATTGAAAATATTAACTTGGAGAAAAAGACAGCCATAATCTTGATCATTAATCTCTATGTTTTCAGAACTGGTTTAAAGTCAATTATCATCTTAACACCACTATTAGGAACCAGTTGGGTTTTAGGTGTATTTTCATTGAGTGAGGAAACTAAGGCTTTCCAATACATATTCACTGTCCTCTGCTCCTTTCAGGTAAAGATTGTTTATAAGAGATTTAATTATAACAACTTGTGTGTTTTATTGACACATTGAAATATTTTTGTGTTATTTATTGTTCAAAAATGTTTTAGAAAAAACATTTTCTTAACTTTTATTATAGTCTGTTAGATGCTAATTAAATATACTAAACATTTAGTACTTTACTATTTGATGTTAATAAATAATGCTTGTGTTATTTATTGTTTTAAATTAAAAAAACAAACATTTTCTTAACTTTTATTATAGTCTGTTAGATGCTAATTAAATATACTAAACATTTAGTACTTTACTATTTGATGTTAATAAATAATGCTTGTGTTATTTATTGTTTTAAATTAAAAAAACAAACATTTTCTTAACATTTAGTATAGTCTGTTAGATGCTAATTAAATATAGTAAACATTTGGTCCTTTATTATTTGATAATAATAATGTATTGTTTGTGTTATTTATTGTTTAAAATAAAAGTTTTGGCAACCAATTTCTTTTTGTTTCTTTGAGAATTAAAAAAAAAACCACATAATTCAAAATGTATAATTTAAATTTTCAGGGATTCTGTGTATTTTTAACTCAGATTCTCCTGTGTGAAAAGGTATTCTTTTAATTTATTCAAATTTATTTTAATGTTGAATGCTAAGTAAATTTGTAATTGTAGTTTGAATAACTTTAGTAATAATTTAAAAATATCAGTATTTGACAATTTTCTACACACTATGCATGAACAGGTAAGAAAAGCACTTGGCAGAAAATACCCCAGAATTGCAGCATTCTGTAAAAGATTACTACAAGGTTCAGGCACACAGAAAATGAAGATAGGATTTCCTTTGATAGATATTAAAGCTGCACAGAAGGAGACCGATTCAACTGCTGCATCACTTGAAACCTCCGGAATTCCCATTTATATGACCAACCACAACACGAATGTGAGTATAGTTAAAATGTTTTAGTTCAAGCCTTTTAATTATCTCTTCTTTAAACCTAGGTTGTGATCAGTTGTGTCTGATAGCATGATTCTTTGAGTCTACAGCAATAATCTGTGGTCATAGATAGATAGCATAGATACAGAGCAGTACAACTAAAGAAAATGAATGCTAGCACGGGAATTGGATAGTTTGTACAAGATTGGTCTTTTGTCAGTGTCAGGTTTTTGTCAATGATGTACTTTTTCCTTGTTCATCTTTTTTTTTTTTGACAAAAGGATATTATTTGTTTTACTTTATCTAGAAATAATGTATTGGTCGTAATACATTTTATGAATACATTTTAAGATGCGTAACAATGAGTTGTGTTACAGAAATGAGTTTTTTCAAATTAAGACTAAGTGTATGTGCAATAATCACAATTTATGTACAACATTTTCAGCACCTATCAACACAATATAAAAAAATATGCTAATATAATGAAATTATATTGTGTTTGTTGACTTAACATAACTTATCAAGAAGACCAAGCATGTACTAGTATATGGTTTTGTGTCTTATTCTGATATCGGTATCTGTCTGACTACAAGATACCATCCTGACATATCTGCAGTGTCTTTAAGGCATCTCTTGATAGGACAGTGACCCTTAAACATGTCCACTGCCATCCCACACCCCCCAACACATACACAACTTATGTGCACCAGTTCCCTCCAAAGGCAACTATAATTTTATTTTCAGATCACAAGACTATAGTTCAGAACAAAGGCAACTATAATTTATTAAAGAAAAGTAACAGCCATTCAACTTATATTAAACAACTGTGTTCTAAAGTATTGGAGTGGACTTGTGGTAAACTGTAAATTTATTCAAATGGACCAAGTTATGTCAATTAATAAGATACTAATTAAAAAGCAATAACCTAGAGGGGTTGAGAAAATTTCAAGATACTAATTCTTACCTAGAAAGTCAACATGTCTCATGTATGTGAATGGAAACAATAAATGAGGAGCGAGTCTCATATGCAAACAAAGAAACGTGGTGTAAAATTTGTGTAAAATTTAATCAGCCTTGATTCTTTTAAAAATAGTTTATTAAAATATAATGTCAAACTTTAAACCAGGTTCATATAATGTGTTACATTAACCTACTGCAAAAGCTGTTTAAGATTTTATTTCAATTGACATAACTTTCTACTATTTTTAATTCCAATTTGTCTTTTAGATTGTTATATTGGTGTTTTTACCAAAATTATTTTTAGATTTAAACAATTTCATTCTTAACATGTAAATGCATTTTTAAAAAGCTTTATTAGGAAACTACCTGAAAAAAAGTGTATTTGCAATGGTTTTTGTAAAATTCAATACTTTTGAGTGTTTATTCATCAATTGCAAAAAAATGTATAAAATAATCAAAACTTACTTTTTGTCAAGAAATAATTTAGGAAATCAAACCTATTAAAAATTTAAAATACCATAGAAGAGGTTCATACTTTCTATCTTTTGATTGCAAAATATATTGTATTTATTAAGAGCACTGAAATGTATAAAACTGTTTGGTGTACGTAACAAAAGATTAATCAATTGCTTATCTTTTCCTTTGTGTTTCAAAACTTTTATTACTATAATTGTAAAGAAGGACATTTGTGATATAATAGGGATGGAGGGTTTTCTGGAATATATGACCACATTGAAATCATATTACAAAATATAACAGGGAGTAAGATGAGTGGGGAACGAAAGTTGTTGTAGATTTCTTAATTTATAACTCCTGACTCTTAAGTTAAGGTTTGAATGCTTATTTTTGCATTACTTTACATTAGTAACTTGACTAGGTGTTTTATATGTTTAGTTTACTTTGTTGAGTTGAAATGTGTATTATGTATGTTTAGATTATGTTAGGCTTAGTTTTTAGTACTGAATTTATTTTTTATCATTTAATTTATTTTTCAGAAGAGACTATATAAAATATTAAATGCCTAAATTTCTTTTAACCTAATTTAGATATTTTTTTACTGTGTTAAAATAGCTTTTGCTATACTTATACATTTTTTTTCAACCACACATTGAATTTTTTAAACTTATTTATTGTAAATATTGTTTATTAAATTTTACAATTAGAAAATATTTTTTTAAACATTTTTAGAACAGGCTTCCATGACAAAATGTATATGCTAAAATGTCTTGTACATATCTTTTGATACTTCTATTCATAAATTACTTTCATTTAAGTTGTTTATGTAACCTGTGAAAATTTATTTTAATTCTTTTGGAAAAATATTTTGCTAAAAACATCTGCTACATTGCTACAGTTTTGAAACACTTATTTGTCATCTGTTACTGTTGGATAATTGATAAATCTGAAAAACAAGTGAATCAATTAAAAAATATATTAAAAAATTATATAAAAAGCTAATCTTACAAAAAAAGAACATTAATAAATACATTAATTAACAATCTCTGAAATAAAAACTCAGAATATCTTTAAATTAAAACATCTCAGTTTGATTACTAAATCTATTAGCAATTCAAAAATTTAAATGTTAATAATTGCAAAGTTAAAACATAAAAACATATTGAATATATTAATATAAAAATAAATAAATATGTTTATTTAGAAACTACAAACATTAGATTCTAATTAACAATATGGAAATTGAAATATTGGTAACTGTAGTGAATCATTTTTAAAAAATCAAAACATAACTACAGTAATTACATTTACTTTTCAAACAAAATATTGATAACACAATTACTGTAAATTTTGCAATATTTTCAGTTGGTGTCACTCCTTTCTCCCCCACTGTCTTTAAACTAAGTTATGTTCCCTTTCAAACATGATGGTCTATAGGGCAAATGAAGTAGAGCTCATTTGTTTCTTTGACCTCAGCATATAAGGTGGTCAGCACTATGCCCAGCTGCCTTTATTTTCCCTAACGTGAGTTAGGTACCCATCAGAGTTGAGTGGACTCAGGGACTTGAACCAGGATTCGAACTCAAGACTTACCGCTCTTAAGCTCTTTACCGCTAAGCCACTCCGTCCTTTAAACTGTAACGTCCATATATTAATACAGCTGGATGTAGCAATGTTTTCGCTATAATAAGCAAGTATACTTCATGTTGTCATTATATTTTGCAATTTTTGCCCATATACCATACAGACTATTGGCAAAATTAATTGACGCAATTCGATTATGTTGAATTTAAAGTCTGTACACATATACTGTAATTGATATGTTAAGATTAGTGTTCAGTTAAAGCTGCAGGGAATTTAAAAGGGTGTTAGAGTTGGGGCAGTCTATAATTGACATCACACTACTGTAAGGGATAAAATCAATTTAATGACAGTGTGTGACGAGTGTAAAAGGGATGGGGAAATAAGAACATGTGAGAAGATTGACTTTACCAACACGTTAACCAGTCTGGGTCATTTTCCACTCACCCTCCTTATTAACTCCCTAGGGGGAATTACCCAATACGCAAACCCTGAATAAACAACTGCAGTAGGACATTACCCCCCCCCCATCAATTACCCACAGGTCATTTAAAGAAAGATAAGGCAGAGATAGATTACAAAGGGACAGTTTTGTCAGCACCATGCCCAGCTGCCTTTACTTTCCCTAACATGAGTTAGAGTACCCATCAGAACTGGTTGGACTCAGGGACGTTCTACTGACTTTACCTGAATTCAAACTTGACTTTTGGGTTAGCAGTCAAGAGTTCTGCCGTTAGGTAGATGACATCCCTGGGGTATAAAACTGCTAGTATTACTTGTGTTGGTTTTGAAAAGTCCTCTAGGTGGGCTAATTAAACCTAATTAATAGCAGATGGTTCATGTGGTGGCATCCCCCGTCCCTGTACATTGCAGTTACTCATGTCTCAATTTGAAATATGACAGACTTGCCAGACATTCACAAAGTGGTTTGTTAATGTGCTATCTCTATATACATTACAGTCTTATAAGAGTTAAAGCTACTACACAATGCATTATGCTTGGTTCTACTTGTGGTTTTTAATAATGCTAGACTTATTAAAAGATACTGTACAAGAATAAAGCATAGCTCTGCAGTCTGTTAAGGCATCTTCCAGCATTATACTAATACTAACAAAATGAAATGACAACGAGTAGTAGCTTCCATATAAAAATATTTAATAGTAAACAAGAGTAAAAAGGTTGGACATTTTAGGACACATTTTTATGATTATTATCTCAACACAATGATTGTGGTAAATATCTAAACAAATTATTGTGATAATATCTAAAATTATTATTACCTAAACAAATTATTGTGATAATATCTAAAATTATTATTACCTAAACAAATTATTGTGATAATATCTAAAATTATTGTTACCTAAACAAATTGAGATAATATCTATAATTATTGTGAAAAATATCTAAACAAATTATTGTGGTAAATATGTAAGTAATAATATAAGTAAACAATATCAGCCTACTTAACAGATAAACACATCATTATGTTAACCATCTTCATACACATGCTATACTGTAAATATTTAAATTGTTATATTAGCCTTTCACATACACATCTGGTGTGGTAACTATTCAAATATCTGTTATAATTAACCATTCACATGTGGTGTGGTATATATTCCAATTGTTATACTAACCATAGACATCCAAAACGGATAACGTTATGGCAAAAGGTCTGTTAATTTAACAGGTGCAGAGTTCTAAAAATCAACAGCTGCAGTAGAACAGATCTACAACCTGGTTGGACAATGCTGACAAAATCAAGGTGTGCTAATGTGGTTATACCTGAGCATGACAACTAACATCTATGCTACCAAACTCTGTGATTGGTAGCTAGAAAAAATAATAATTTATCAACTAATTAGGAATTTCTAAAAACAAAAATGTTAGAAACTTCTTAAAGAAAAGGTATATTTTCCAAAAACAATTATGAAAAAAAAAATTATTTAAAAAACTAAGAGTAATACTGTCAACAATGTTAAACTTTTAATATATCAAGTAACTTTGTAACCAACATCAAACTTTCAACACATCCAGTGGCCAACATCAAACTTTCAACACATCCAGTAAATGGCCAACATCAAACTTTCAACACATCCAGTGGCCAACATCAAACTTTCAACACATCCAGTGGCCAACATCAAACTTTCAACACATCAAGTAACTTTGTGGCCAACATCAAACTTTCAACACATCCAGTGGCCAACATCAAACTTTCAACACATCCAGTAAATGGCCAACATCAAACTTTCAACACATCCAGTGGCCAACATCAAACTTTCAACACATCCAGTAAATGGCCAACATCAAACTTTCAACACATCAAGTAACTTTGTGGCCAACATCAAACTTTCAACACATCCAGTGGCCAACATCAAACTTTCAACACATCCAGTAAATGGCCAACATCAAACTTTCAACACATCCAGTGGCCAACATCAAACTTTCAACACATCCAGTAAATGGCCAACACCAAACTTTCAACACATCCAGTGGCCAACATCAAACTTTCAACACATCCAGTAAATGGCCAACATCAAACTTTCAACACATCCAGAGGCCAACATCAAACTTTCAACACATCCAGTAAATGGCCAACATCAAACTTTCAACACATCAAGTAACTTTGTGGCCAACATCAAACTTTCAAGACATCCAGTAAATGGCCAACATCAAACCTTCAACACATCCATTAACTTTGTGGCCAGGCCGCCAACAAAACGCTTTTGTAAAAAGCTGTGGTGATCTCCCTCTACAGCCAACACCTGCAAGTTGTTGACATCAACTAGCCTGGCCAGTCCATAGTGAGTGTCCAGTTGATGGTCAGTCAGATGACCAGGTGAGCTGTTGACACGCACTAAAACTGTGGGTACTGGAGGGACAGAGAAAAGAATTTGAAAAATAAAAGATGAGTTTGTTATCTCTTAAAAGGAGGGAAATATGACAGGTAATTGTAATGTAATTTAATCGCATGGATTATTATGGTCTGATTGTCTAACTTAACACATCTATCATGTATTACCTTTACCCCTTACCCATTAACTACACCAGTGATACATTAAACCTACACCTGCCACACTCCTCACCCACAAACCTACACCTGCCACACTACCCAGCACAAACCTGCCACACACTCCCCACCCACAAATCTACACCTGCCACACACTCCCCACCCACAAACCTACACCTGCCACACACTCCCCACCCACAAACCTACACCTGCCACACTCCCCACCCACAAACCTACACCTGCCACACACTCCCCACCCACAACCTACACCTGCCACACTCCCCACCCACAAACCTACACCTGCCACACTCCCCACCCACAAACCTACACCTGCCACACTTCCCACCCACAAACCTACACCTGCCACACTTCCCACCCACAAACCTATGTCTGCCACACACTCCCCACCCACAAACCTACACCTGCCACACACTCCCCACCCACCAAACCTACACCTGCCACACACTCCCCACCCACAAACCTACACCTTCCACACTCAGCACAAACCTATCACACACTCTCCACCCACAAACCTACACCTGCCACACACTCCCCACCCACAAACCTACACCTGCCACACTCCCCACCCACAAACCTACACCTGCCACACACTCCCCACCCACAAACCTACACCAGCCACACACTCCCCACCCACAAACCTACACCTGCCACACTCCCCACCCACAAACCTACACCTGCCACACTCCCCACCCACAAACCTACACCTGCCACACACTCCCCACCCACAACCTACACCTGCCACACTCCCCACCCACAAACCTACACCTGCCACACTCCCCACCCACAAACCTACACCTGCCACACACTCCCCACCCACAACCTACACCTGCCACACACTCCCCACCCACAAACCTACACCTGACACACACTCCCCACCCACAACCTACACCTGCCACACTCCCCACCCACAAACCTACACCTGCCACACACTCCCCACCCACAAACCTACACCTGCCACCCACTCCCCACCCACAAACCTACACCTGCCGCAAAAATTCTACCCACAAACCTACACCTGCCGCAAAAATTCTACCCACAAACCTATGTCTGCCACACTTCCTATCCACAAACTTACACCTGCGACACTGTCAAACACAAGCCACCCACAAAACTATAGGGCCTAAATCCTACCTTCCTCCAAAAATTTAGGCTTATAGTTTCTCATCATCAGACCCATCTGCAGGAACCTCTCCGCCTTCTGCTTACGCAGCAGGAAAACAACCCTATCTGTAACATCCGCCACAGAACACGACGGCTCAGCCATGAAGAACTCAGGCACCACCTCCCTCAGCTCCTGGGTGTGGCTGCGGCATATCACAGACTGACCCAGGCCCTCACGTCCATCCTGACCCAGACCCGCATGTCCATCCTGACCCAGCCCTACACCAAAGTCCTGGTCAGTAACAAAGACCCCCTGGTCAGTAACAAAGACCCCCTGGTCAGTAACAAAGACCCCCTGGTCCTCCAAGTCGCAGGTCAGGTCCCCTGCATCAGGTTCCAGAAAACTACCCTCAGACAGGGACTTCCTGCAGTTGGAGCAGGATATGTCACATGACCTAGACGAGGCTATACGTTTCCTGTAAGAGTGTAGTTTCCGCAGCTTGAAAATCTTCTCAGACATCAGCCGCCATCTTTTTTTCATCCCGTAGGCAACACTAAAAAAAGACAAAATTTTAGTGGAATATTTTACTTGCTATGAAAGGCTTAAAAAAATTTCAACATGCTTTAGTATTCCAAAAAACCTTTTCTAAGATTACTTTCCTATTGCTTGATTGATTTTCTCAACAGGTCATGTGGTTGTAATGTCAAACTTGATAAAATAATGAAGCACAACAGCTAAAGAATCCACAACATAGCTAATCAATGTAGTCCCTTATCATGCCATGACTTTTCTTTTGCTATTAATAAGCATTATACAACAACCAGACTTGTGTTTTACGTGATAATCATAGCCTAAAGAGACTCTAAAGTGAATGAAATAACCTGATTTACTTCTAACATGTTTTAAATAATTTTCCCTTTTGGGACAGGGCCAATGAATTAGAGTTTATCTGTTTTGTAACCTTGGCATATAAACAGATAGTGTGGTCAGTTTAAGCCTAGGACATTTTTACTTTTTCTAATGCTAGTTGGGTTCCCATCAGAGCTGGGTGGACTCCGGGCATTTGGGTACTAGATCCGAACACATTTTAGGATAGCAGTATTGCACTCAAACCCCAGTTGATGATGCTGTTGTTTAATCATCTTTTTGTTTGAGCCCAAAACATGGGGCAGATGAAGTAGAGTTCATCTGTTTCAGAGAACTTGGCATATGAAGGAATAGTGTGCCCAGCCGCCTTTTTCCCAATGCAAGTTTGGTATCCATCAGAGCTGGGTGGACTCAGGGACATTCTACTGACTTGAACCCTGATTCAAACTCGAGACTTTCAGGTTAGCAGTCTATAATGTGTTACATATCACGTGGACTTACTCTAGCTTGATGTAGCCCAGGGATATATCCACAGCCATCTCAATCTGCTGCTCAGAGCTGGCCAGGGAGGTGAGCAGCGAGGCAGCGTGAGCAGTAGAAAACTCTGGCAGGTAAAGTCTGATGAAGGCCAGCAGCACAGCACAGGTGTAGCGCTGGGGACATTTTAAATTTTTTAAATATTTTACTGTGATGGTATCATCTAAAATGGATTTAAAAATGTAAGCTAACTAATGCTAACATGTTAGTATGTATAGCATTGGGGAATTTGTTTCAATATTTTACTGCGGTGGTTAGATCATTTTAAATTTAAATGGACGTAAAAATGTAAACTTAGTAAGGCTAGTATGTTAAGTATAGCATTGAGAAATCTTGTTTTAATATTTTACTGTGGTGGTTAGATAATTTTTAATGGGATTAAAAATGTAAACTTAGTACGGCTAATATGTTGAGTATAACATTGAGAAATTTTGTTTTAATATTTCACTGTGATAGTAGGATAATTTTAAAAGGAATTAAAAATATAATCTAAGTAACTAAGAAAATATGTTAATGAATTAAAGCATTGGTGAATTTTGTTTTAATATTTCACTATGGTGGTAGGATAATTTTAAAAGGACTTTAAAATGTAATCTAAGAAAGGACTATCATGTTAATTGAGGAATTTTGTTTCAATGTGGAAATAGGTTAGATTCTGTGATAACATTAGATTGACTATAAAAAATTCAAACTAAGTGATGCAAATATGTATTTATGGTAAAATACTGGAAAATGTTTTGAGGCAGAAATGATTCTGTGATAAAAGGACAGAATTTTGAATTAAAACTATGTTTGACACGATAGAGCTTTGGTTAAATGAGGTGGTTTATAGAGCTGAGGTCAGTTCAGTTTTTGTAATAATACAGGGATCAATTTTGTGAGAAATTTATGAATTGAAGATTAGTATTAAAAAGTAACCTGGGTTTTTGACTGTTTTTATAACTTCAGGATTTATGATGAGGATTATAACTTTACCTGGATTTATGATGAGGTTTATATCTTTACCTGGATTTATGATGAGGTTTATAACTTTACCTGGATTTATGATGAGGATTATAACTATCTGGATTTATGATGAGGATTATAACTTTACCTGGATTTATGATGAGGATTATAACTATCTGGATTTATGATGAGGATTATAACTTTACCTGGATTTATAATGAGGATTATAACTATCTAGATTTATGACTTTTGGCTAAAACTGAACTAAAGAGCTAGAAACAATGGATGTGAAAACCTGCTTACCTCATACAGACTTTTATTTCTGGGGACAAACGTCATCTCATGATCAAAGTGGGCTGTCACATATCCAGGGCTGCCGTCTAGGTAGATCAGGGTCTGTAGCTAAGGAGGGTTCAAAGGTCAGATATCATTAGCTTCATGTAGCTTTAGTTAGGGGCTTTCTTTAGGGTGATGGTGGGGGCATGATGGTGGGGTGTGGTGGTGGGGCATGGTGTGATAGTTGGATGTGATTGTTAAACCATGAGTTAAACCATGAGTTTAAACATGAGTTTAACTAGGTTGTAGTAGTAATGAGCTGTTAGACTAGCACAAGCTTGCAAGAGATCTTACAACTAAATGGTGGATTGTATGGGTGTTGAGCTGTTAGATCTACCTAAGACTAGCACCTTTTCAAGAGATCTTACAACTAGTTTTACCTTGTCCGTGCCCTGCAGCAGTGTTGCCATCTCATGAGCTATCACAGCACCAAACGAGTACCCAGCCAAGTGAAACACCCCTGTAGGACAGTGTTGGCTGATCTCTTCTAAATAAAATCTGAAACAGATGTCTCTCTCTCAATACATTTCATGCAGCTCAATCATCTTCATTAAAAGTATTTGATTATTCAACATAGAATATTAACAAATTTGTGTAGTGAAACAAAATTAATTACTTGGCCATGGAGCTAATTCCTTCTTCACTAATGAGAGGGGCTTGGCTGGAACACTGGATGCCCAGAACTGGTAGCCTCAGGTTTTCTCCCAGCAGTTTCAGGCACTCCACAGTTCCTGGAGGAAGGAAGGGGATCACTGATTTTTAGATCAGGGCAACTGACTGGGTAGAGTTTAATGGCAAACACCCCCCAGTTTTACAAAAAAAAGTTGAATTTCCAACAAGGATTTGGGTGGTGTAGCAGTAGATTGCACACTTGGTAACATGAACAGTGTGTGTTCGGTAACAGAGGTTAAGACTGTAGGTCAGATACTGACTGATCAATGACCAACCCCTCCCCCCAATCTCACACCATGCCATCCCATCGCTAGCTAATATAGAGCCCATAATGTGTTACAGATATCCTGGCAGCTCACAAAATGTATGCAATATGTTTTTATTTCTGGTGTGTCTGGCTTAAAAAGCCCAGGTCAAGTTGATTATGCCTGTAAAAAAAAATAAACAAGATTGCTTCAATGTGTACACGGACAGTGGCAGGTTATAAGTACCCATTATAGGATGTACAATATAGAGTGGGGTCCCATTGGTGCAGTCGTTCAGTGGAACAATGGTCTCAGCCAGGGGCGGGGCGGTCACATCCAGCAGAGCTGAGCCCAGCTGAAATCCTCGCGTAAACATAACAGGAAACTCAATCTCAACTGTCAACCTGAAACAAGGGCAACAACCAGTTATTAAAGGGAAGCAACTCTTAGGATTTTTTAGCTATTATTTACAAAAAACTAAATACAGTGTTTTATTTTTACAAATGAAAGCTTAAAGTTGGGCAAATAAACAATCTAGCTGCTATAAAATTAATAATCCTAAAGGTGAACGGCTCGTAATTAATGTAGACTACATAAAGCAAGTAATTAATGTAGAGTACATAAAGCTAGTAGTTAATGGAGTTACATACAGTTTATAAATAATGGAGACTACATAACATAGAGCTAGTAATTAATGTAGACTACATAAAGCTAGTGATTAATGTAGAGTATAAAAAGCTAGTAATTAATGTAGACTACATAAAGCAAGTAATTAATGCTAATACTAGCTTAAAGCTAGTAATTAATGGAGGTACATACAGTTTGTAAATAATGGAGACTACACACTTAGACTAAACTAATGCAGACTTGAAACCTGTGATTAAAGCAAACTTAAAGCATGTAAATTACTGTAGACTTACCTTGTGGAGTTGTCCTCTGCTGTGTCTAAAGACTTCTTACCCAGCAGGTCAATGTCCATGTCACATGACAAAAGCTTGACCGTTGGCGTCTGGACCTCTGAGTTGAGGGAAACAGGAAACAGCTCTGGGTAGATCTCCAGGCTGGACTGGCGCCTCTGGCTCCCAGCCAGATGAGGGCTTGTCATTGCCAATGTTTCAGGGAATACCTGTCACAGAGTTCAAAGTTCATGAGACTAATGTAATACTGGAAGATTTGTGGGGGTTACACCTGTGTGTTAATGACAATAATAGGTTCTTCTTAAAAAAGGGTGTTGGTAATTTGCATACTACCATAAATGTAATCTTCTTAAAAAATGGGGTGCTAGTACTTAGTTTACTACTGATTAGCATAAATTGCCAATATCGCCAATATCAATACTAATCTCATCCCTGAATAAGTCAGGTGCTGTTCAGGCTTTAGGGTCTAGGGATGTCGTCTAGCTGAGAACTAAAGGTGTTAGGCTAGCCATCACAAGCTCTTCCCAACTTTTGCAATTATTTGATTTAAAAATAAATTACTACCTTAAATTTTTATTTTAGCCTAAAAAGTAATTTTGCTGCTTTGTTGTTCAAGTCACCATGGATTGATATAGAGGAGAAATGACAATACAATCATTCTCTCCCACCATAGATATAATGACAGAGAATTAAAAGACAGAACTACAAGATACACTTAAGGTACCCACTTAAATGCTACTGGTGTTTGTTTTACAAAATAGAATCAACTGACATAACCATAAAACAGACTGAACTTAACATATGCATGTAATGTTTCAGTGGATGAGTGGTCATTAAGAGTACACCATTACCTTTCTGTAGTGAAGCACCATTTTGGAACCTGACGGTCAATGGGATAAGTAGAGTTTACCTGTTTGTGTAACCTTGTAAATGAAAGAGATAGTGTGGTCAGCACTATGCCCAGCCACCTTTACTTTCCCTAATATGAGTTAGGTATCATCAGAGCTGGGTGAACTCACAGATATTCTACTAACTTGAACATAGATTTGAACTCTAGACTTTCAGGTTAGCAGTCTAGTGCTCCACTGCCATACTAGGCCATCCCCATGTCATCCACTGAAGGAGAATTAACTGAGAAAAGAGAAACTGATGTACACTAACAAACCATCATCATCTTCTACCATTAGTCCCAAAGATACATGGGGCAGATGAAGTAGATTTCATCTCAATCAATGACATCGGCATATGAAGGGATAGTATGCTCAGCACTATGTCCAGCTAGTTTTGAGTCAAGTACTCAACAGGGCTGGGTGGACTCAGGAGTTTCCTGCAGTGAGTCCGAAACAAGATCCAAACTAGAGACCTTCAGTCTAGAGGTCAAGCACTCTACCATTCGACCACATACTTACAAACGCAGGCATGGTTTCCGTGGCAGAGTGGCTCTGGTGGGTCATGGCTGAGTGCAAGTACTGAACCACGCTGGACTCCTGACCAGTCAGGGAGCTCAGGATCTGTGAGGGGGAGAGTTGCCTGGACATGAACACATCAACCACCACGTGTTCACTGGGCTGGGAGTTGGGGGGCAATTTTTTCACACTGGCGATGGATTGGTAGAAACAGGTTTCATTGCCTGCGCAGTATTCAGCAGTTATCTAGGGGATACATGGAAAAAATGTAAAAAAAAAATATTTGTTGAGAATAAAGAAATTTTAAACAATTTACTATCATGCAATAAATTAAAAAAAAAGAAAAAGAGGTTTTAAATATGTAGTGGTTAAAATAAAATATAGGGATGGATCATAAAATTAACTGTAGCTACAACACTCAATACAGAAAATCATAATGATTAATATATCAATGATTTAAAATTGATTTTCTACATTACATTGAAGTAAAGCCTTAAAATTAGAGACATTTTTAGATGAATCCAATGAAACCAAATCTAACCAAACCATTCAACCCGTACAACCAACCCATTCTACCAACACCTCACCACCTCATTCAACCAATATCTCACCACATCATTCAATTCAATATCTCACCACATCATTCAACCCAATAGCTCACATTATTCAACACATAACTCACCAACCCTTTCAACCCAATATTTCCCCAACCCATTCAACCCAAATCTCACCAACCAATTCAACCCAATATCTCACCAACCCATTTAACCCAAATCTCACCAACCCATTCAACCCAATATCTCACCAACCCATTCAACCCAAATCTCACCAACCCATTCAACCCAAATCTCACCAATCTATTTTACCCAAATCTCACCAAGCCATTCAACCCAATATCTCACCAACCCATTCAACCCAAATCTCACCAACCCATTCAACCCAAATCTTACCAACCCATTTAACCCAAATCTCACCAACCCATTCAACCCAAATCTCACCAACCCATTCAACCCAAATCTCACCAACCCATTCAACCCAAATCTCACCAATCTATTTAACCCAAATCTCACCAACCCATTCAACCCAATATCTCACCAACCCATTCAACCCAATATTTCACCAACCCATTCTACCCATACCTCACCACATCATTCAACCCAATATCTCAACAACCCATTTTTCCAATACCTCACTACATTATTTAACCTAATATGATCTAACCACATCATTAAGCGCCAAAAGATGCTGCGTGAATTCTGTCTCAAACTTCTGCCTGTGTCGGCCAGTCAGGGTAAGAAAATGGTGGACCACATAACAGGCATCAAGGCTGTGAATGCTCAGATTCTTCAAGAAACAGCTCATGCCGATGTTCTGTAGAGGGTTGATGTTGCCACACAGCACCAAAGTGCCGGAGAAGTCCACAAGAGACAGGAACTCTTCTACTTCTAGAACAAACAAAAGTGGTTCATCTTTTAATTAAACATAAATTTAAAAACAATTTCTTAAAATAAACATTTATGGTATCATTACAAAAGTAATATTACTCTACTGGAAATTTAATATATAATGCAGGTTGTCTCAAACTGACTTGAAAATGATGAAGTTGCTCAAAAAGATTCCCATAAAAACATAATAAAATGTGAAACATTTGCATGCATCTGATGATAAAGTATTACATACCCCAGTAACATTTTAACAAATGACAAAGTTTGGCAAAACGCTTCCACCAACTCTAGCTTCATTTTATCTTTATTGGGTATCTCTCAGTATTTCTCCAGTACTCACCATCCCACTGGTACATGACCCCAGTACTCACCATCCTGCTGGTACATGACCCCAGTACTCACCATCCTGCTGGTACATGACCCCAGTACTCACCATCCCACTGGTACTTGACCCCAGTACTCACCATCCTGCCTGTACATGACCCCAGTACTCACCATCCTGCTGGTACATGACCCCATTACTCACTATCCTGCTGGTACATGACCCCAGTACTCACCATCCTGCCTGTACATGACCCCAGTACTCACCATACATGACCCCAGTATTCACCAACCATTAAGTACATGACCCCAGTACTCACCATCCTGCTGGTACATGACGACCATGCTACACCCATGACCCCAGTACTCACCATCCTGCTGGTACATGACCCCAGTACTCACCATCCTGCTGGTACATGACCCCCGTACTCACCATCCTGCTGGTACATAACACTCACCATCCTGCTGGTACATGACCCCAGTACTCACCATCCTGCTGGTACATGACCCCCGTACTCACCATCCTGCTGGTACATGACCCCAGTACTCACCATCCTGCTGGTACATGACCCCAGTACTCACCATCCTGCTGGTACATGACGACCATGCTACACCCATGACCCCAGTACTCACCATCCTGCTGGTACATGACCCCAGTACTCACCATCCTGCTGGTACATGATGACCATGCTACACCCATGACCCCAGTACTCACCATCCTGCTGGTACATGACCCCAGTACTCACCATCCCGCTGGTACATGACCCCAGTACTCACCATACATGACCCCAGTACTCACCATCCCACTGGTACATGACCCCATTACTCACCATCCTGCCTGTACATTGACCCCAGTACTCACCATCCTGCTGGTACATGACGACCAAGCTACACCTCTCCCCCCCAGTCTGGGGCAGCACTGATAAAGCTGAGACTGGCTCGCTGAGGACGACAGAGCTGGGCACCAGGGTGTGGAGGTCGTCCCTGACGGAGGGGATGCTGGAGGATGTGATGATCTGCTTACACCCCAGTCTGCCAGCTAGGAACATCAACACTGCTGGGTCATGGTCTGGGGAAAAAAAATTTTTTAACCCTTTACAGTCCGCTTTTTGTAATTATTTTTACCTCTCCACAAGTCCAAGTAAAGGGAAAAAACCTCTAAAAACTGTTTCATAGAATTGATTTATTAAAAAATCCACCTTCATTTAAAAATGAATACAAAATGTAATTCATAGACAATTGGATGCAGATATTATTGTGCCTTACTTTTAATTACCCTAACATGTCACCATTAACAAGCTGCACCAAACTTAATAGTGAAAACAAAAAGGTCATAAACAGAACAGGTGTTTTTGGGAGAATAGGACTGTACCATATAGGAAAAATCTCAGGCACATTTGAGCACATATAATTGTTTAAGTCAATTTCCATTACATACTTTATGAAATATATTTATAGAGAGTTCATGTGAGCCATAAGCACAAGAAAATAGTCATCTAATAGTCTTTTTTAAGTAAATGTCAAGATACATATGAGATGGTGTGTTTGGTAGTAGAACATAAAATAAATAAACCTTAAGTCTTCACGTATATTAGGTATATGTTAAATATCTTCTTATATTGGTTTTGGGTAGTTTAACCACAAAATAAATATATTAAACTTGAAAAGTTTATGGTAAATGTAAGCTATTGCACAGCTAGTGATACATGGTTTCTTAAAAATTACATTTAAATTTAAATCGACTATCAACATTTGATATGAAGAACTTGAAATTAATTAAATAATTTTATTACCCATACAACTAGAAAACAACAGGCTCACACAAAATATGAACACTTACAAATAGGAGGCTGTATCAACAGGATCTTGTCCTTCAGGTGTTCCTTGCTGGCGCCGCCCAGCTCTTCTAATATGTACATGGCTATTAATAGACTGACAGCATTCTCCAGGTGACTAAAACAACAGGGGTGACTCATTGACAGCCTGGCATGCGTTACTGCAGTATCTGTAACATAACAAAATTTACATAATATATTCTGGTACAGAAGATTCCTTCAATAAGGTAAAGCAAGTATCAAAATATTTAGAAAGAGATTGAATAATTTTTTCAAAATGACTTACCACTAAATAGTACAAAACCCAAGATGTTTTTGTTGTCCCTCTGTGTGGCATGATAAAGTAACAAATTCCCTGATGCCCTGCCCCTCTGTTGACCAAATGGGCTTCTGTGGTCGTTGAGATGAACAACTAAGGCTGTATCTAGTTTAGATAGCGTCATCAGCTGATACGGATCATTTTCCTGGGCTAAATCAATGGTCTTGGATGATACGAATTCCTTTAGAACTAATTCCTTATGCACATCTGCATTCTTGACCACAGCATCTTGGACCACATCTCTGTCCACATCTTTTTTGACCACATCATAGACCACATCATAGACCACATCTTTGACCAAAGCTTCTTTTACCAAATCTTTGCTCACATCATCATTGACTGCGTCTTTGACCACATCTTTGACCACATCTTTGACCACATCATCAACCACATCATTGACCACATCTTTTACCAAATCTTTGCTCACATCTTTATCATTGACTGCATCCTTGGTCACATCATCCTTGGTAACATCATCCTTGGTAACATCATCCTTGACCACATCATCTTTGACCACATCATCTTTGACCACATCATCTTTGACCACATCATCTTTGACCACATCATCTTTGACCACATCATCTTTGACCACATTATCTTTGACCACATTATCTTTGACCACATCATCTTTGACCACATCATCTTTGACCACATCATCTTTGACCACATCATCTTTGACCACATCATCTTTGACCACATCATCTTTGACCACATCATCTTTGACCACATCTTTGACCACATCCTTGACCACATCTTTGACCACATCATCTTTGACCACATCATCCTTGGCCACATCTTTGACCACATCTTTGACCACATCATCTTTGACCACATCTGTGATGATACCATCCTTGACCACACCTTCATCATTGAACACTCCTTCATCCTTAACTACACCATCATTGATCACACCATCCTTGACATCATATCCATTCTTTAAAAAATCCCCAACACTTTTCTCAACAAGACAACTATCCTTGCCCACATCACCAGACAGAGGACCCAAGCATGAAGAAATCTTCCAGCTGCTCTCAGTGGCAGCAAACACCATCCTACTTTCCATCTCCTCCACAGAAGCTGAAGACATACAACTCTCCACCTCGGGTGTTGACCCACCAGAATACGTGTACGTCCCACTGGAGCTGTCCTCATTGTACATACACAGAGACGCGTTCTTCATGATGTTGCACACCTCACTATCAACAGATTCCTCAGTGGAACCAGACACTTGTTCAATGAAGCATCTGGGGTCAGGGTTCATCTGGGTAAGCATAGACACAGGAATGAAAAATTTATCCTGGTCTTCTTGTGAGATGGAGGGTTGAACGCAATGTGTGGGGATGACTTGATGGGGGTGGGGATTATCCTTAGGGTCACTGGGAGGAGTCTCAGGCATGACCGCCTTCAAGTTTGTTAAATCAATCTGCGGAGGTTTCAGGACTGAGGGGTCTGGAAGCGCTGGAACTAGTTCACGTGAGGAACTCTGGCAAGGGGATGGGGTGATGACAATTTTGGGCAGGCTGCTGACCAACAGGCAGCTGAAGTTGTCGCTGGATGATGTGTTCACTACGGGAGTTTTGAAACCACAGAGCTCAGGGGTTTCAAATGAGATCAAATCAAAGTTGGAACTTTTGTCCATGGGAGTTGCTGAAAGCTCATCAGCAGAGGCAGGTATGTTAAGGCTTTCTTTAAGCATGCAGGGATAGGCATCAGGGGAGAGATCCATTACTGGTGAGAAGAAGTGAAAGGAGTTTTCATTTCTGAATTTAGAAAGTTCATCCTCAAGGGATGTGTTTTTGTCAAGCTTGGAGAGCTGGACGTGATGAGTCCGAGAAATATCTGGGTGAGCGGATGTCAGGTATGTGAGCAGCTCCTGGCCATTCTCAAACTTGAACACGTGCCCGTGTTGGCTGTACACGTATGCAGAAAAAGCGTTTGTGTACATGTCCTTTTCATCATCTCGTACAATAGAAATTAAATACAGATCTCCATCCTGGTGTCTGGTGTCCTGGTAATTTGTTGCGTCCCCTGCAACAGGTTTGTTCTGAGGTTGAACATGGGCTACAACACAGCCGAGGATGTTGACAATGTTGTTTAAGGTTTCTGTGAACATGTCATCAAGGCTCAGACAAAAGCAGGTGCTCATCATGGCAGGGTGGGGGTCATGGTTACCATCCCCATGAACATCAACTTCAAGCTTGTTGCTGGCAGTCAATGAGCAGTGGGAGATCTGAAACATGGCTTCTTGCTCGAATAAATTAAATTTTGTAGCTTCGTCTTGCTGGAAGATTTTGGCGTTGACTTTGGCCATGATTTCCATCTCAGCGTTGACCAACAGGGGCTCCCAGCTGCTGATCTGGGTCACGTCGCCCCAGTATTTTTTAAAGACGACATAAACCCTGGCCAGGTGGGTTGCTAGGATTTCCTCCACACCACGACACATGATTGTCAGGGCAGCTGTGACGTCAGCACAGGGTGTGACGTGGTCCAGGTTCCTGTCCCTCAGCACCACGTTCAAGTTGGATTCTGTTTTATGCATCATGCTGGGAACTGATCCACAGCCTGAGTGAGCTCGGTACATGCACAACACATACGGAGATGAAGAGCTTGGTAGTTTTCTAGGAGTGACAAACACAACTAGTACAGCTTCTTGTTGAAATATTTTCAAAAGATTCCCCAAAGTCTCGGAAAAGTTGCTGTGCAGCTCAACACAAGCTAGAAATCTAAATTTACACGCACTGGCCGTGGGCAGGGTGGCGGTGATGGCGTCAACATCACAAGCAGCGACATCTTGCATTTCAGCCTCCCTGTTAGAAATAGATTCTAGATTCTCACCATCCTCATCAAACTGAAACACTGAAGACGGGAATGAGGCTTTGGGTATTGGCGTTGGCGGCACCTCCATCTTGATCTTCTTCTTGCGGGAGATGTCAGTGGAGAACCTGACCTGTTTGGTGGCGCGCTTGTCCTCCAGGAGATCCCTGTGGGTGCCGGACTGCTTCATGCAGCAGGTTGGCTTGCCCTTGATGTACTGCAGGCTTTCCCAGTGGGCTGACAGAGTCTGGGGCATGGGTCCCAGCTGGAAGAAGTCTGGACTGGATTTGGGTTTGGTGCTCTGAAGCATGAATCCCCCACAGACAATGATTCCTGGAATTTATAGATAATTTTTTTAAAGTCCTGAATTAATGAATAAAATATTTAATTAAAACCTGTAACTTATGTGTGCATTACTTTTTTTAAATCCTGGAATTTATGTACACATTTTTTTTTATTCCTTGAATTTCTGGATAAATTATTCTTTCAGGAATAAAATTTGTTTAAAAATGCAGAAAAAAAAATCCCACTGAGATTTAATTCCTGACATTTTGTGATACAAACTCAAATTATTTTTTTAAAATGTGAATACAATATCCAGTTTAAACTGTTTGATGTTATAATGACACTTTAATAACCATAGGATTTGAGCTTATTTCATCAACTCTTCACCGCTAATTGTAGATAAAGCAACACTGAATTTTTTCCAAATGCGCTTCATTCAAGAATTTATAGTCTAAATGTGTTTAAAATTGCCGTTGCTTATCTATTTTAAGTGTATTGTTACAAAATGATTTCTCAAATGTAATCCCATTTGTTTTAATCCTAGTTTTTGAGATCTAGAGTACCAAGCTAAACAAGATCAAAACTACAGTGTAGCCAAATGTATAACCTAGAGTACCAATCTAAACATGATTAAAAATACAGTGTAGCCAAATGTATAACCTAGAGTACCAATCTAAACAAGATTAAAAATACAGTGTAGCCAAATGTATAACCTAGAGTACCAATCTAAACAAGATCAAAACTACAGTGTAGCCAAATGTATAATCAAGAGTACCAATCTAAACAAGATCAAAACTACAGTGTAGCCAAATGTATAACCTAGAGTACCAATCTAAACAAGATTCAAACTTCAGTGTAGCCAAAAATATAATCTATATTGCCAATCTAAACAAGATTCAAACTACAGTGTAGCCAAATGTATAACATAGAGTACCAATCTAAACAAGATTCAAACTTCAGTGTAGCCAAAAATATAATCTATATTGCCAATCTAAACAAGATTCAAACTTCAGTGTAGCCAAATGCATATTCTAGAATGCCAGTCTAACCAACTGTAACTTAACTACACACCTGCATTGTAGTCTACGCAGCACTTGAGCTGAACTTGCTTCCTCTCCTTCTTTAACTTTCTCAGGGCCACAGCTAGAATGTTCTGGTGCTTGACTGCATCCCACACCAGGCGGAAAGGGTTGATGACGTCAAAGAAATGCTTGTAGATGATTGACAGGTTGCAGAGGACTTCCTCTGGGCTGTTTAAGGCCACAGAGCAAGGGGAGGCTGCAGATCTGTTGACAGGTGAAAGATGACAGGAGGTGGTGGCATGACAGGTGAGAGATGACAGGAGGTGGTGGCATGACAGGTGAGAGATGACAGGAGGTGGTGGCATGACAGGTGAGAGATGACAGGAGGTGGTGGCATGACAGGTGAGAGATGACAGGAGATGGTGGCATGATGACAGGTGAAAGATGATAAGAGATGGTGGCATGATGACAGGAGGTGGTGGCACGATGACAGGAGGTGGTGGCATGATGACAGGAGGTGGTGGCATGATGACAGGAGGTGGTGGCATGATGACAGGAGGTGGTGGCATGATGACAGGAGGTGGTGGCATGATGACAGGAGGTGGTGGCATGATGACAGGAGGTGGTGGTATGATGACAGGAGGTGGTGGCATGGTGACAGGAGGTGGTGGCATGATGACAGGAGGTGGTGGCATGATGACAGGAGGTGGTGGCATGATGACAGGAGGTGGTGGCATGATGACAGGAGGTGGTGGCATGATGACAGGAGGTGGTGGCATGATGACAGGAGGTGGTGGCATGATGACAGGAGGTGGTGGCATGATGACAGGAGGTGGTGGCATGATGACAGGAGGTGGTGGCATTATGACAGGAGGTGGTGGCATGATGACAGGAGGTGGTGGCATGATGATATGGTGAGAAATGACAGGAGGTGGCATGATGACAGGAGGTGGTGGCATGATGACACGGTGAGAAATGACAGGAGGTGGTGGCATGATGACAGGATTGATGTGGGTGTTGTTACTGTTGGTGTCAGCATGTGTTGTCAGTGTGCATTGGAAGCGTGTTGTCAGGAAGCATTGTCAGTGAGCGTTGTCAGCGTGCACTGTCCGTTAGTACGCTGTTGTCAGAGAACGAGTATGTTGTAAGCTTTGTCAGCCTGCACTGTTGTTAGCTTATGTCGTTGTCAGGGTGCTGTTGTCAGAGAACGAGTATGTTGATACTAGTAAGTGTTGCTGTCAGCGTGTGATGCTGTCAGCTTACCTTGATTTTAGCGAGTATTGTTGTCAGTGTAATCAGCTAGATTACCAATATAGGATTGTAAGGTTCTAAATAGGTGTTATATATTTTTACTTCAATCATTGTAATCCTTAGAATACTCGTTTATTTTATTAAACACAATTCATTAAGACTACAACAATAAATACATTTGAACAAGAAATTACCTATCTAGAGATGAGTAGTTTTTATCCAGCAGTGTATAGCTGCCTTGTAGAAGGCAGTGACCAACTGGGAATTTAAAAAAACAGATCACATATTTAGATCTGACACAATATATTAAAAACAAAGGGTGGCAGCTTTAGTTAATTTTAGGTCATTAAAGCTAATTCTCTGGTCTCATTTTTTTCAGCCCCACATCCATCTCTCTATTTTAATATATTTTAAAACTAAGTTCAAAAGATATGTGTCGAAAAATTTAAGGGTAGATAATATTCCACCTAAAAAAAATTCTAATTTTAATGATTATTTCCCTTGATACCATGATAACTTACCTTTCTCAACACAAAAACTACTAGATGAGCGAAACACACAAGCCTGTATCTTGCCTTCAACATGCCCAGGTAAGTCTGTACAACAAGACTCTTGAATGCCAACATCTCTCAACTCTAAAACTTTGCCACTCATTTCCTACACAAATACATTCAAGATGTATAAAGTGCTGAAGCTGAAATACTTTTGTGTTATTTCTTCTGCTTGAAGATTGTCTTAACTACTTAAGCTATTAATACATTTGACTTTGCTTTTTGCTTAAAGTGTATATATGAAACAAAATACCCACCTCCATGATTATAGTCAACAATAGACCATCTCTAAACACAAGGTCAACAATCAAATACCCACCTTCTCCAAACATGAGGTCAACAATTACCCACCTTCTACAAAAAAGAGGTCAACAAATACCCACCTTCTCCAAACATAAGGTCAACAAATACCCACCTTCTCCAAAAATGAGGTCAACAAATACCCACCTTCTCCAAACATGAGGTCAACAAATAATTCCCACCTTCTCCAAACAAGAGGTCAACAAATACCCACCTTCACCAAACAAGAGGTCAACAAATACCCACCTTCACCAAACATGAGGTCAACAAATACCCACCTTCTCCAAACATGAGGTCAACAAATACCCACCTTCTCCAAACATGAGGTCAACAAATACCCACCCTCTCCAAGCATGAGGTCAACAAATACCCACCTTCTCCAAGCATGAGATCAACAAATACCAACCTTCAAACATGAGGTCAACAAATACCCACCTCCAAGCATTAAGTCAACAATTACCCACCTTCTCAAAACATGAGGTCAACAAATACCCACCTTCTCCAAACATGACATTAACAAATACCCACCTTCAAACATGAGGTCAACAAATACCCACCTTCTAAAATATGAGGTCAACAAATACCCACCTTCTCCAAGCATGAGATCAACAAATACCCACCTCCAAACAAGAGGTCAACAAATACCCACCTCCAAGCATAAAGTCAACAAATACCCACCTTCTCCAAACATGAGGTCAAATTCCCACCTTCAAACATGAGGTCAACAAATACCCACCTCCAAGCATAAAGTCAACAATTACCCACCTTCTCCAAGCATGAGGTCAACAACTTAAACATGTGTGGAATAAGTCCTAGCCCAATGGGTTCCTGTGCTGAACACTCTTGTGCTGGGAACTCCATCTTAAACACATGGCTGATTGATTGACCTGCATCAGTGATTACATTTTGTTTCTACATTCGTTAATTATTGTGATGCAACAATTTTAATATAAACTAATTACTGATGTAATAATGAATTTTTATTGATTTTGCAACTTTAAAGTAATAAATTATTAATGCTTATACCATTTTTTTTCTCAGAGTGCTATTTTGAATCAATGCAAAGTTACTGAATGTGTCACAAAAAATTGATTATTTCTGATTGTACCATTTTGAATTAACAAAATATTACGGATTGTGCTATATGAATTGTTACTGATTGAGTTGCTTAATTTGTTAATGATTGTGCCAAATGAATCTGTGATTGTTCTATATGAAAGAATGAATGAATGAATGTAAGAATGCAATAATGAAAGAATGAATGAAAGAAAGAATGAATGAAAGAATGAATGAAAGAATGAAAGAATGAAAGAAAGAATGAATGAATGAAAGAATGAATGAAAGAATGAAAGAAAGAATGAATGAATGAAAGAATGAATGAAAGAATGAAAGAAAGAAAGAGTGAAAGAATGAAAGAAACCATACAAACGCAGCTACCATAGAACTGTCTGAGCCTCCAGTCAAAAGGGTTACACTGTGCTGTGTGATGCCAGGACCAGAGGGTGTGGGTAGGGAAGTCTCCACAGTAATCAGGTTGGTCATCACAGGCTAGCTGGTCATCACTGGCTAGCTGCCTGCTGGCCTCAACATAGCAACCTTGAAAACAGAAAAACAGGTGTTAATTTTATAAAATGAGTAGTCCACAGCCTTGAAAACTGAAAAAAGATGTAAAATTTGGCTTAATTCCTTTGTATATATTTTTTTAATTTTGTATAAAAAAACTTAGTAGTGGATCATAATACTAATAAACAATTTGCAAGTAAAATTTAGTTTTCAGTTGGGCCCTAGTAAACCGCAGGGTATATAAACAGAAACAAATTATGTATTTAGAGAGAGCTAAATTTATTAGTTATTTCTAAGATTTAAAAAAAATTATGTTTATAAATGGAGGCTTAATACAAATTTGTGTGTGTTATGAATAGAATTGTGTCTTTTTGTCATCAGCTAAATCCCATTCCAATTGTATAATCAATTTAATGAATTCAGTATAAATGACTTTTTTTTTATTAGAGTATTAGCAATTTATTTTATCCTTAATAAAAGAAAATCTTCCCTGTTTACATTGTTCCACATATTAGTACATACCCCTAATTCCATCATCCTAAATTTTCAATACTAACAATTCAATCGATTCTGAATATGAAGGTGTTGTGTCCCATTTATGTAAGTAGCCCAGATATGGGATTTAAAAACAATAACTTCCAGATTTGTTCTTTACAATCTGGCCTCAATAAATGGCTACCCTAATTAACTGTTCTCTGTTAAATGAAACAGATCCTAGTTCACAAAAAATGCCCAGCTCTTTAACTCACCAGCCTGATGCAACTGTCCAACAGCATGCAAGATTCCCACATCACTAGCTGGGCACAACACTTCTGGTCTCAGGACTTCACTTCCTCTGTAGAGCATCTTGTCCTCATCCTCGTGGAAGAAGCTGACAGTGATAGCTTTGTTGTTATCCAAAGCTGCTGGTGCGTTGCCTGGAGTGGTGATGGTGAGGCAGCCCTCATTAACCCCGACCAGGATGAGTTCAGGTGAGCTTGTATCCAACAGGGTCTTGACCTCTCTGTTGGGTGACCCGCTGGGTAGGGACCCGCAACTGACCCGGGTGGAGCAGTCCATGACAGTATCAGAGCTGCCTTCATAGCTGGTGGCTTCAGAGTCTGGGTCCTCTCCACCTGTGTAGGACATTGTCCTCCCACCAGTGCAGGACATTGTCCTCCCGCCTGTGCAGGACATTGTCCTGAAGTTGAGCTGCCTGGATACATGTGTGCTGTCATCAGAATTCAAAGACAGCAAAGCCTCAGGGATGGGACATTCATCATAATCGTTGTACGGGGTGGTCAGTAGGTCCACAAAGAAATCAGAGTCACACAGCTTGACGGAACCTTCTAGTTTATGCTTTGGGATCTCTACATGCTCTGTCCTGATCAAACAGAATACAAACATTTGTTTGTAAATAAAATCAACACTGAGTGTTATGTTGTGTGTTTTAACAGGGTATTTTGGTGAGCATGAATGTTGGTGCAAAAGAGATAATGAATGCATGGGCTGATGAAAGAAGCAACCAAAGAAGTGACATTTTGTGTAAAAAAACTGGTTGCTGTGGTAATCAAGCTAGAGAGTTAGGACTAGATATTGAGTGTGTTAGGTTCGAAATGGGAAGGGTATACCAAGGATAATTCTATCCATAATAGAGAAGGCCAGTAGTTAAATAAAAACTTGAAGAAAAAAATGGTCATCATGTTGATTGATTACAGCATGTACTGTTGTGACGTGTAACTGCTGATTATTGCAGTGGTGGAAGGCTTTACATGGTAGTGGATGACGTCAACTCTAGCTCAACCCTCACATAAGCCTAACATTGAGGCACTGTATGTACAAACACTATACACACATTCACCACATACTAACCAGTACTAACCAACCCCAGAAAATAAATACTATTTCACAAGAGCTGCGGATGACTTTAAACATTGGACAGCTTTTTTCAATGCACTAATGCACCCATAAAAAAATTTAAGTTTTAAAATAAATTTACAGATAAGTCTCTCATCTCCAACCCCTTATACACATTTTCAAAAAATAGTTAATACCATAAAACAAATGCTCACCATAGCAATGGACTGGGTATGATTCTACTGAACATCTTAGACAACTTTGGTCTTAAGTTGGCCAGGTGTGAGGAGTACATAGGTACATGGAAGGCCTGCTCATCAAACACCACACCTGGAGAATTGATCATTACACACTAAGGTGGTAGATAATACATTTTTTAAGTCAGAGACAAATGATGTAATAGCAACAGTGCTAGAAAAGACATATCAATACAGAAACTAAACAAAAAAAAACTTTCAGAAAAAATGTACAAATAGATACCATAGAATTACAAACCTATATAAAACAGATCACTAAAGCTGTATAAAACACATCACTAAAGCGATATAAAACACATTTCTAAGCCTATATAAAACATCCCTATGCCTATATAAAACATATCCCTAAGCTTATATAAAACATCACTGAGTGCAACATCACTAAGCCTATATAAAACACATCCCTAAGTCTATATAAAACACATCCCTAAGCCTATATAAAACACATCCCTAAGTCTATATAAAACACATACCTAAGCCTATATAAAACACATCCCTAAGCCTATATAAAACACATCCCTAAGTGTCTATAAAACACATCACTAAGCCTATATAAAACACATCACTAAGCCTATATAAAACACATCACTAAACCTATATAAAACACATCACTAAGCCTATATAAAACACATCACTAAACCTATATAAAACACATCACTAAGCCTATATAAAACACATCACTAAACCTATATAAAACACATCACTAAGCCTATATAAAACACATCACTAAACCTATATAAAACACATCACTAAGGATATATAAAACATCCCTAACACTGAATAAAGCACACCACTGAGAACCTTGTGGTGGTTCTCAAACTCTAACCTTGAGACTCAAGCTCCTGCAGAACTTGCCCCCTCTTATTGTGCTGAATGCCAAGTATTTTCACCTGACCCTTGTGGTCCCATTTATACATCCTGACCCAGGGTCCCAGCCTGTAGGCCTGGTCTACACCCAGGGCAACTTGCACCAAGGTTCTATCTGTAACAGGAGGGTGTATTTCAACAGTACATTACACATGTAATGTGTACACATGAGGTCTACACAAATGGGATAAGAGACATGTATTTTAACAGTACATTACACCCTTTTGTTGTGTGGGCACATGAGTTGTACACAAGTGGGATAAGAGACATGCATTGAACAGTACATTACACCCTTTTGTAGTGTGTACATATAAAGTCTACACAAGAGGGATATCAGAGATATTTATTCTTAAACTGTATGCAGTTTCTCAAAAAAATAAAAAAGCATGCATCAATTTATTAATATTATAAGAAAGAAGATTGCTGGTCATCCCTGAGTCGACCTAGCTCTAATGGGTACCTAACTCACGTTAGGTAAAGTAAAGGCAGCTAGACATAGTGCTGACCAAACCATGCCTTCATCTGCCAAGGTTGAAAAACGTGAACTCTAGTTCACTTGCCCTATAGATGAATAGGTCTGAAAAGGGAACTATTATATTAAAGGACAGAGTCGTATTTCTGATATAAGAGTTACCTTTGGCTAACCACTAAATGACAGTTACCCTAGCCTAACCACCAAATGACACCTAACCTAACCCCAAATGTCACCTACCCTTGTGGCTGTGATTCTCCTCAAGCAATACCCTCTCCATGACATCAGCCAACCTGATACACTGCCCACGGGTCAGGCACTGGTCAGCATAAGCTGCAGCCAGAGCCCCAACACCTGGACCTTCTATGGCATCAACCTGCTCCAGGACACCCAGCTCAGACAGGAGGTCAATCACACCTGGGGACATTAACAGTGGGGAGGGGTGAAGGTAGAACAATTGTCAGGTGATCAAGGTGGGTTGTGGGGTGTGGAGGTTTAAACTGAGCATTGAAGTAATAAATACAGTATAGAGCATTTTTTAACTTTATAATATAAACATTTGCAATAATACTAAAATATCTTTTATATGACAACAAAAATTATCAGTGTACATTAAAATATTTCTGTTGGACAATTCAAACTAAGGAACTGTATTGGGCAGATAATAAAGCATAGAACTACAGTTGTAATGCGACAAATCATGACAAGTTCAATGTCTGAAGCCTGACTCACTGCCCAACATCCAAACCCCCCTCAATCCATCAATCTTTCCACCCACAATCCTGGCTTGTGCCCCCAGGGTGGCATCCCATACTGGTGTATTCATGAGCCTTGAATACTTGTTAAAAAATGTACCAACAATTTAATGTGTTAAAGTTACCTATCTGGCAAGCCACTCTCAAAACAAATCCTACTGGCTCCTGGACAAGAGGTGCTGCATCAGACTTCAGGGAACCAATCAGATCTCCGTGCTCGTGATCAATTGCTTGGTAAACCTGCACAAATTGTATTTCTTTTTACCCGTGACAATATTTTGGTTAACGGAAAAAATAAAAACCAGATTTCTAAAGATCTAACCTCAAGTTATAATAAAAGTCACAATTAGAGGTTAAGCAGTTTTGAAACTTAAAAACGAAAATATTACAGATTTTGTACCTGTGTCTACCTTTGATATTACTGTAACACTATACAAATGTTTAAGAAACTGCAATGTTGAAATGACTAGTCTGGGCTTAAAACTATCCTTAAATGAAAATGTTGAAAATCTGTTTTTCTATAGAAAGCAATATTGTTTTTCTTCTTTACTATAAATTTATTCTAAAGACGTGTCCTTTAGTTATTATAAAATTAACCATTAGAACTACATAGTTCAGAAACATTAAACTGTATTGTCTATTCATAAATATAAAAATTAGTTATGGGTTAAACAGGCCTTAAAATAAAATGTTGAAAGCAGGACAATAACTACTACTTGTGTAAACTACTAAAGTAAATGATTAAACTCTATGTTTGTAAACAAAGTTGTGAATCTGTGAGTTTTTACCTGCTGTGAGAGGGCCAGTGAAGTGGCGACTGGCTGTAAATTTAAAATACTCTTCCTGGGGGTCCAAGCTTGGCTAAGGAAATCTGTCAGCACTAGATGGATTTTCTTCTTCGGCATAGCAGAGGCCACGCAGGTAGGATAGGTTAAAGTTGCTGGAAAATATAGAGATCAATGTCATGCAAGTAGGATAAAGTTGCTGGAAAATATAGAGATGAATGTCATGCAATTAGGATAGGATAAAGTTGCTGAAAAATATAGAGATGAATGTCGTGCAATTAGGATAGGATAAAGTTGCTGAAACATATAGAGATGAATGTCGTGCAATTAGGATAGGATAAAGTTGCTGAAACATATAGAGATGAATGTCGTGCAATTAGGATAGGATAAAGTTGCTGAAAAATATAGAGATGAATGTCGTGCAATTAGGATAGGATAAAGTTGCTGAAACATATAGAGATGAATGTCGTGCAATTAGGATAGGATAAAGTTGCTGAAAAATATAGAGATGAATGTCGTGCAATTAGGATAGGATAAAGCTGCTGAAACATATAGAGATGAATGTCGTGCAATTAGGATTAAGTAGCTGAAAAATATAGAGATGAATGTCATGCAAGTAGGTTAGGATAAAGTTGCTGAAACATATAGAGATGAATGTCGTGCAATTAGGATTAAGTAGCTGAAAAATATAGAGATGAATGTCGTGCAAGTAGGATAGGATAAAGTTGCTGAAAAATATAGAGATGAATGCCATGTAATTAGGATAGGATAAAGTTGCTGAAAACAGATGAATGCCATGCAAGTAGCAATAGAATAAAGTTGCTGAAAAATACAAGTAACATTACACACCATCTAAGGATGTAGGGGCGGAGATGACAATATAAAACTGTTTATGATGGTGTGGTATAGTGTTAGTGCACATAAGTGCAACCTAAATAGTATGAGTTTGGTTCCTGGGTTCCAGTCCAAAGGACATCTGTGAACCAAGTTTTGATGATGAGGACTATCTGACTAAGTAAAGGTGGCAGAGTATGGCACTGATCATGATTTCTTTGTAAGATGGGGCTAAAAAAACAGATGAACTCTATCTCAACTGCTATATTCTGGTCTGAAGGAGATCTTTTCTTTACATACAAAGCCTAGTCAGATGTCTAGAGCATTAAAGATACTGTATGTCACTTAATGCCACAGAACATACCACAGATAAACAATTTAAACATAAGATTTGGGCACATTTTATAAAACTTTTTATCAAACCCTACAGATAAGTGTATGGGATGGCATGGCCTAAGCAATAGACAGCTAGGCTGCTAACCTGAAAGTCTCGAGTTCGAATCCGGTCTGCCAGTAGAACGCCCCTGAGTCCACACAGCTTCTAAGGGTACTTAACACATGTTAGGGAAAGCAAAAGCAGCTGGGCAAATTGCTGACCACACCTTCCCTTTATATGCTGAGGTCACAAAACATGAACTCTACTAAATCTGTCCAATGGATCGCTTTGTCTAAAGAGGAATCTTTACATGTTTAATGTACTAGATTGTAGGTCAGAATTTCTTGTATAGAAACCTACCAGATTCAGGATAAATGTACGTTGATAGTTGTCATAACCAGAGCACATCTCAAACCTACCAGATTCAGGTTGTACAATAACATAGGTACGCTGATAGTTGACATAACCAGAGCACATCTCAAACCTACCAGATTCAGGTTGTACAATAACATAGGTACGCTGATAGTTGACATAACCAGAGCACATCTCAGAGTGCAGGAGGTACTGGTAGAAGGCTGGGTTGGTGATTTCCTTTCTGATGGAGTCTTCCACTGTCTGTATGTCCACGTCAAGGGGTAGGTTCAGTGGGATCAGCATGGGGGGAGGTACTGAAACAGGTGAAATTGTAACAGGTAATTAACATGGGAAGTACTAAAACAGGTGAAATTATATCAGGTAATATTCGAGGGAGGTACTGAAACAGGTGAAATTGTAACAGGTAATTAACATGGGAAGTACTAAAACAGGTGAAATTATATCAGGTAATATGCGAGGGAGGTACTGAAACAGAGGAAACTGTATCAGGTAATTAACATGGGAGTGTACTGAAACAGGTGAAATATGTACCAGGTATTATGCATGGGATGGAGGACAAATAGGGGAAATATATATCAGGTAATTAGCATGGGAGGGTACTAAAACATGTATTAATTAGTAAGCATGGTGAAGGACAGGTGAAATATCTATTAAATGATAAGCATGTGTTTGGAGACAAACAGGTGATATTGTATTAGGTAATTAACACGGGAGGAGATACTGAAACAGGTGAAATATGTAACAGGTACTATGCAAGTGTGGAAGCAACAAACAGGTGAACTATGTACCAGGTCGTAAGCAAGGAAGGGGGTTCTAAAAAAGATGAGATTTTATACTAATGGTTAATTTTTAAAAAGATCATTATTTTAAAACTACTGTAAACCTCACCTTTTGAGAGCACTATCAGCCATGCATTATAATATAGTGATTAAGTCAAGTAGGTTTCAAGTCTCATATTTACCTCCATGAGATGTAGACACAACAAACCTACACAACACCAACCAAGGACATGACCCCCAATGCACTGACCATGAGCCAGGCAGCTTTACACACAACAACCCTGCACACACCAACCCCATGCACTGACCATGGGCCATGCATGTTTACTAACACCAACCATGCACTGACCCTGGGGCAGCTAGCTTTACTTACCCAGGTCACCACTGATAACATGTCCAGCAGGTTTCAGAACGATGTGACCTCCCAGACCTCCGAACCCAAAACAGCTGACACACATTAGATTGGCACCATCTGAAATGATTGCAACAATCGAATGTACAACTAGTTGGGTTATTTAACAAGCGATTGCAATTCACCTTGCTTATTAAATAGAAGGCATACATAGTTATTCTGTTACATAGAATAATTAAGTTGAGATTAGTACATTTAAACAGCGTGAAATCATGTTTCAGTAATTCTTTTATACAGAAAGATCAAGTTGCGATATGTAAATATAAACAGCATGTAAACATATTTTCCATATTAAATCATATCCAAATAAAGAACATGTACTTAATTTAAATAGTGTTCAAGTAGCTAGGGGGAGGGGTCATCCATAAATTACGTCACTTTTTTGGAACGATTTTTACCTCCTACACCCCCTCCCATCACCACACCTCAGCCTACAACCACCCCCCCCCCTCAAATTTGCAGTTGAATTTTTCTTAAAACATCAATATTTTTCCACAATCTTGTCAACATATTCCTATTACAATTTATTAAAACAGTTTTCTAAAAACGCGAAATAAAAACAAGTTTTTTAACATTGTTTTTTTATAATGCAAAAGTGTGACGTCACATCATCTGAACCCTCCCCCCTCCCCCTCATCACACACCGACACACAATTACGGACCCCCCCCCCCCTCCTCCCTTAAACAGTATTATATAAACGTTTTCTTTTTTAAATTTTAGGCTAGTTATAAGTAAACATTTTTGTGTGAAATTGTTTTTATTTATGAAATATTTGAAACGATCTGTAATTAGTTTTTAATTATGATGAATATCACTTTGTAGAAGCTTAAATAAGTGTAAGCGTGTGTGTTTGCTAAAATTACGTGTCTGTAAGTTTAACCATACGCCATTCTTACGCCTACATCGGCAAATGATGTAAGCGTATACGCCTACATATGCAAGTGTAAGCATGTGTCATTGCTACTATTACATGTCTGTAAGTTTGACAAACGTTTAACTCAGATTGGCCATCTGCCAAAAGGCTAAACAGATTCGCGGAGAGTAGGGATGGTGGCCTGTGGACATTAAAAGACTTGGAGGGGGGGGGGGGGGGCCTTGCCCCTTATCCCCTCCCCCGAAAAATACGCTGGTTGTGGGGGCTGCAGCAAGTGAAATAACAAGTGGTACACTTTAATACAGTTCCGCATAATATTTAATTACTCTTTTTCCAGTGTTATTTTAATAAACAATAAACTTTAATTATGTTATATAAAATGTGTTTGCTATTTATTCTACAAAGAGTTTTTTTGTTTCTTAAAATCGTAAATATATTTTAGGATATTTGCTATGACGCAAGTTTACAGAGACTAAATTGATATTCCCCCCCCCCCCCCCCCCCGTGTCGAAAATGCTTTTAAGAAAACTAAACACATCGTTAAGCTTCGTATTTTTAAAATAAAAAAAATAATAATTTCTAAACATTTACCTTACCTAGTTCTGTTTAAATGACGTTGACATTCTACATAAACGTTTCAGCTTTGAATACTTAAATTCGAAGCACCAACATTAGTTTATTTCGATACACAGTATGGGCTAGATCAAACATCACTTTCCAATGCTAAATTAAAAAAAAATTTCAAACAGCATCAGTTGTTTCAAAGCTTTGATTTATTTGGCTAGACATCCCAATGGCCCGCGGTCCTTGTCCACCTGGGTCACGTGATTATTACGCCACTGCATCAGCGGTTACTGCAACCATCTGAGCTACAACGTTTTGCACGTACAAAAGTCTGTCTAAAGCACCAGACGCTGTAATATTTCTCAGGTCAGGTTGGACCTACGAGTGAACTCGAGTACGAGAGCACCGACTAGACAGGATACCAGTACACACTTTACCTTGGGGCAACGGGACGCTGGTCACAGGGACGATGATGTCGCCTGTGTGGAGAGCAGGGATGGCGCTGTTGGGGATTCTATAGTTGACATTGCTGAAGATGGTGTTGGTCCTGTAACTGGCCAAACATTTTAAGATTCCAGCCAAACCTGAAAGTTGAAGAAAAATAAATGGTTAAAAAATTTTTAACGAAGGCTCGACGTTTTTTTAACAGCTTGTTTTTTTTTTTTTTTTTTTTTTAAATAAATGAGAATAAGAAAAAAAAAGACTCAGACTCTTTCGGTGGTTTTTAAATCACATGGAGGTGGGCGGGGGAGATGTTTTGCAAGCTAAACCATGAACTTAATTTTGGACTTCAGTTCTGGCGATGTCCTTGAAAACGTGAATTCCCTTCTTTGGGGGGAAAAAAAATTAAGTAGATTTTAAAAAGAGACCGAGGTTATTGGAAAATTTTTCTTCCATCATCGTGCCCACAATGCACTGGTAGAATCTTGTGGACATTTATACATAGGCTTATGTGGATTGACCCGGCCTTGAGAGAAAATGAAGTGGGGGGGGGGGGGGGGGATTTAAATGCATTGAGGATTGGGGGGGGGGGGGGGGGGGGTAATTTGAGAATTACTATATTTTTTACTTCAAAGAAGTTTACGTAGGCACTGAAATGAGTTTTTTTTTATTTTAAAAAGAGTTTGCAGACGGGAAAAAAAACAAAGAGATTATTGTTGTAGAGGAGGGAGGGGGGAATAATTGTCGGAGATTGGGAGAGATTCCACTTTCTGGCGACTTGTGACAGTGGGGGGTCTTGCATTTTTGCTGGGTGGACGTTTAAAATTTGCCTGATGTCATGTATGACCCCCCCCCCCCCCCCTTTCCAAACACCAATGTCTTTTTATCAGGGTAACGCGCCAAAATATAGTTTGTCTCAGTCTCCACAAATTTCAACCAGGCTGCTATAACAGCTGCATGAGTACTACTTTTATGTTGATTGTGAGCATAAATGATGGCGTGCCGTGCACTTTTATGTTGTTTGACGTCATACGAAAAATCGAAATGAGTACTTTGCACGTACCCCCCAGCCATCCCCTCCCCAAACCTTTCAAATAAAGCTCGGCCGTATATGTTTAAAAGCTTTTACAGTATGAGTTAGGCGGTTATGAGTTCTATATTATATTTTTTAAATGTATATAGAATGTTCAATTTTGGGAATACTTTCCCTTTGGTTCTTTCCCTTCCGCCCCTCCCTGGGTAGTGTTTGTTTCACGCATCATTTCTCGAAGCATCCCCTTGGACGAAAGTTTAACACCCCCTCCCCCAATCAGAAAAAAATGTGTCTCTGCCTCCTGTGAGAAACAAATCCTCCCAGTTGGTACCCTGACACTATGAGCATTTTGTGTCCTTACTTCTTGCAGACCTACTAGCACAGAATATTTTTTATCTCACAACTCTGTACTACTACATCTAATAGACCTGTGTTATTCCAAAAGCGGCGACGTTATTTTGGGATGTAGTTAATCGAGTCAGCGGTGTTTATGCCCAGGCAGGTTACATGTTCGCTGGTATCGTTACCCTGGCTTAGACCCACGAATCAGGTAGAAGCTCAATGCAATACCATCAGATAGAACCATGGGTCAGACTGACAAATAAAACCGAATCAAATTGGTAAACTTGCAGGCTTATTCTCTCTTCAAAAGCATCAACGTAAGTCACATAATACGTAAGTTACATATAAAGTAAGTCACATATAAAGTAAGTCACATATAAAGTAAGTCACATATAAAGTAAGTCACATATAAAGTAAGTCACATATAAAGTAAGTCACATATAAAGTAAGTCACATGTAAAGTAATGCACATGTAAAGTAAGTCACATGTAACGTAAGTCACATGTAACGTAAGTCACATGTAACGTAAGTCACAGATAACGTAAGTCACAGATAACGTAAGTCACAGATAACGTACGTCACAGATAACGTAAGTCACAGATAACGTAAGTCACAGATAACGTAAATCACAGATAACGTAAGTCACAGATAACGTAAGTCACAGATAACGTACGTCACAGATAACGTAAGTCACAGATAACGTACGTCACATATAACGTAAGTCACATATAACGTAAGTCACATGTAACGTAAGTCACACATAACGTAAGTCACACATAACGTAAGTCACATATAACGTAAGTCACAGATAACGTAAGTCACATGTAACGTAAGTCACAGATAACGTAAGTCACAGATAACGTAAGTCACATGTAACGTAAGTCACAGATAACGTAAGTCACAGATAACGTAAGTCACAGATAACGTAAGTCACAGATAACGTAAGTCACAGATAACGTAAGTCACAGATAACGTAAGTCACAGATAACGTAAGTCACATATAACGTGTCACATATAACGTAAGGCACATACATTGCAAAGCATAAAAACAAACGACACAAACCCACTATGATTCGGCCATTGAATCATACCTTATACACATTACAGACACTCGCACACACATCACAAATGTGTAACTGGCCCGAATTCCGCCCCACCTCGCATCCATGAAAATATTAGACTTCTCCCCACCCTCAATTATGAAAACTTAGCCCTCCACACAACTACCACCTTCAAACACCCACACAAATTAAAACACCCCACCCTCACACCCCCGACGAAAATCAAAACTTCTACACCCTAACACCCCCACGAAAATTAAAACGCCCCCCCCCCCCATCCTCACACACCGAACATATTAAAAATTAAACCAGACGTCTCTCCAGCACCCCCCCTCCCCTCATCCCCCCGCCCCCGCGCTGCCACCGCACTTTTATCGTGTCATATCGACCTAGAAAAAATACTCGAAACAGCTGATAATCTCGGAGCTAAATATAGCCGCCAGCGGCGACCTAAGGGAAGCACTTTAAGCCCGACACTAGTGATACAATCAAATGATGGTGCTAAGTCCCCTCAGTATCAGTGGGTGGGTGTGACTTTGATCTAGTTTATTAAACACGCCAATAAATAGTATAATACGGTATTCGTTGTTTGGATTTGTTTTTTCTTTTTGTTTTTTGTAAAGTATTCAACACATAGGCTAAGCACATAAATGTACAGAAGGGAGTGTTGCTATGTAAGTTTTTGCCAAGATTCCCATTAACTTGTGAGTTGGTTACGTGATCTTCAGTCCTGTTTCACATTTTAGAAATATGATCTACGTATTTTTATAATACCACGTCAAGATGTTTTGAATGTATCTGAATAAATAATGAGCCGTACAGTCATGAGTGTAGCCTTGACGTGAGATGGATGGAGGAGAGTAAAATAAGCATCGGGGGGGGGGGGGGGGGGGGAAGAGGGAGTAGAAATGCAATTACAAAGCAAATGCATTAAATGCACCTAACGCTCCCCACTTTATCTAGCTGACCAAACCCCTCACATCCCCCACCGATCTAACTAGACCAACCCTTTATATCCTCCCTCACATCCTCCCTCACATCTTCCCTCACATCCTCCCTCACATCTTCCCCTCACATCTTCCCTAACACACTCCCTCACATCCTCCCTCACATCCTCCCTAACACACTCCCTCACATCCTCCCTCACATCCTCCCTCACATCCTCCCTCACATCCTCCCTCACATCCTCCCTCACATCCTCCCTCAAATCCTCCCTCACATCCTCCCTCACATCCTCCCTCACATCTTCCATCCCATCGTCCCTCACATCTTCCCTCACATCTTCCCTCACATCTTCCCTCACATCTTCCCTCACATCTTCCCTCACATCTTCCTCACATCTTCCCTCACATTCTCCCTCACATTCTCCCCTCACATCTTCCTCACATCTTCCCTCACATCTTCCCTCACATCTTCCCTCACATCTTCCCTCACATCTTCCCTCACATCTTCCCTCACATTCTCCATCCACATCTTCCCTCACATCTTCCCTCACATCTTCCCTCACATCTTCCCTCACATCTTCCCTCACATCGTCCCCTCACATCTTCCCTCACATCTTCCCTCACATCTTCCCTCACATCTTCCCTCACATCTTCCCTCACATCTTCCCTCACATCTTCCCTCACATCTTCCTCTCATCGTCCCTCTCATCGTCCCTCTCATCGTCCCTCTCATCGTCCCTCACATCTTCCCCTCACATCTTCCCTCACATCTTCCCTCACATCTTCCCTCACATCTTCCCTCACATCTTCCCTCACATCTTCCCTCACATCTTCCCTCAAATCTTCCCTCACATTCTCCCTCACATTCTCCCTCACATCTTCCCTCACATTCTCCCTCACATCTTCCCTCACATCTTCCCTCACATCTTCCCTCACATTCTCCATCACAACTTCCCTCACATCCTCCCTCACATCTTCCCTCACATCCTCCATTACATCTTCCCTCACATCCTCCATTACATCTTCCCAACTCTAGTTTACCCTCCCTTTAACATTATCCCATTCAAGCTATTCAGCCCCCCCCCCCCCTTACTTTTCACCGTGCACCCCCTAGCTAACACAAAAAACCTTGCATCTCTCCAGCACAAGGACACCTCGTGTACAACATCTGAGTTAGGAGGTCAAATGGGCGTGGTCTAAACATGATTCAAACACAAACGCATAAAAACCAGGTTAATTTCACACCCATTTATCTTCATAAAAAATGAAACAAAACCATCCAAGACATTCCATGTTCGTCCCCATGTACGTATATTTTTAAAACAAAACCCATTAAAACCGGCAAACTTTTACATACACCAGACCTTGCAGCAAGCCAACCTGCGAAGATTCTCATGAAGATAAAACGTTTTTAACATAAATATCTCCTCACCCTCCCCAGCTCATTTAAATATGTTTTTTAAAAGTGTCGCTTTAAAAAAAATACATTTTCATTGCAACTGCCTTGTTAAAACTATATATAGAGCAAAGATTTAAAAGATTCCGTGCTTAAAATTGGACAAAATTTTTGGGAAGATGAAGTTGAGTTTTTCAATTTACATGGTGAAGATGGTAGAAAGGGATCGTGTATTCCGGACTCCTATATATTTAATTGGGGGTGGGGGGGCGAAATATTTTTGCGAGGGGGCCTTTTATCAGTTCCGACACTATATATCAGTATCGTATCAAGTGACCATCATTTAACAAAAGAGTCTCAGAGCTTC